CTAAGATATATTTTATATATAATAAGTTATTATATTTTAGAAGCTTATCTTTATTAGAAAAAATATATATTAGACTAATATATTTCTTTCTAAATATATTAATAAACTAGAAGAAATTTGGATTAAGCTAATTTAAATATTTTTTAAAAAATAATCCGCCTGAATATATTTTTAGTAATTTATTTAATATTTTTTTTTTAGTACTAGTATTCTTTTTTTTAATATTAGTAGTTTTTTTTTAGTAATAGTACTCTTTTTTTTTAGTAACAGCAGTCTTTTTAATATTACTAGTATTTTCTTTTCTAGTATTAGTAGTCTTTTTTTTAATAATAGTATTCTTTTTTTTAATATTAATATTTTTTTTTAGTATTAACAGCCTTTGCTCTAGTCTTATTATTTTTTTTATTTTTTTATGTAAATTTTATTTTTTAATATTTCTAAAGTCTTCGGAAGCCATATTTTTAAATAAAAAAATAAAAATCTTAAGAACTTATTTAAAATCAGTAATATTACTTTTTTTAGAAAATATTTTATCTTTAAAATATATTATTTTACTATTTTTTATAATAATTTGAAGTATACTAATATCTTTTTTTTTAGAATTTAGAATTAATACTAAAAATCCTAATAGTTTAACTATTAAGCTAGAAAGAGCTTTATTATTTAACCGGTTATTTAATATTATTTAAAATATATTAAAAATATAATATTTAAAAATATAAATAATTTTTTTTTAATCTAACTACTAAAAATATTTTATAGCCTATTTTTTTTAGACGCGTAACAGCAGTATATTAAAAAAATATATATTTTAATAAAATCTTTAAAAATTAAAACTAATTAAGTTAAGGTAAAAAAATATAACTAGAATTATATATTTTTTAGGCTTTTTTATAAAATATATAATAATATTAGTTTTTTTTCTTACTATTAGATTACTATAAATTATCTTTATATTAAATCCGGTTTTTTATAAAATTATTAGAATATAAAGTTTTTTTTCCGGAAACTATATCTATATAATTAACTTCTTTTTTTTAAACTATATTAATATATATAGAATTTCTAGTATAACTTGTATTTTTAGTACTTCTTAAATAAATATAGCTAGTTATTTTATATTTATTTATAAATTATTTTTATTTTTCTACTAAAATTTAGACTATATATAAAATATTTTAATAGTAATAGTATTTTTAACTTATTTTTATTTTTATAAATATTATATCTATCTAAACATCAGCTTGTGTTTTTTTATAAATTAACTATTTTAGAAAAATCTATTTTTAAAAAAATTAGTTTAAATAGAATTATACTAAGTTATAAGACTTTTAAAACTAACTAATAAAAATATATTATAGTTTATTAGTATTATAAATTTTCTCTATCTAACTAATCAAGTATTATAATATAATAATTTTTAATTCAGTAAGTTTTATAGACTTTTTGTTTTTTAAAATTAAATTTTATATTAAATATCTTATATACTATAGAAGAAATATTTTTATTAATTATCCAGCTATTTTTAAATAGAATTATAGACGTAAGAGTTTTCCGAATTATTAAATATTTTAAAAAAATATAGAACTGTATTAATTATATTTTTTTATTTAAATCTATATAAATAATATATCTTTTAAAAAAAACTTTGCTGAAAATAAGATTTATATAATAAATATTTAAAAATATAGTTAAAGTCTTTTTTATAGCTGCCGGTTTTATTATTTTAAATATTAAATATCTTTTAAGAAATAATTGTAAATATCTAATAAAATTATTATTATAGTTATTAAAAAAAATATTATTATAAATAAAAGATTAAAGTTGCTTTTAACTTATTATACAGTTTAGAATATTTCTAATATTTTATTATACAGATTATAAGCCTTATTTAGAATAATAAGCCTAAAATAATCTTTAATATTATTAAAATAGTCTTTTAGATAATTTTTTCTATTTTTAAACTTGTTTTTATATTTATATATATACTAGGCTTTAATATTTAAAATATTATAATAGCTTTTAAATATATTATAATTATTTAATACAACTATTAGATATTATTTTTATTTAAAAAAGATTTTATAGTCAGCTGTTAGCTTATTATTAATCTATTTAATATTTTTCCGGTTTTATATTTTTTTATAATATATATATAGTACTAACTATTTTATAATATTTAGAATCTCAGTCTACTATTAGTAAATTAAATATAATAGTATTAGTATTAGAATCAGCTTTTTTAATCTTTCTATAATAAGTTTATTTCTAGACTTAGTCTTTTTTTTAAAATATATTATATACTTTTAGAAATTAGTTATAAAAGTCTAATACTAAGATTTTTTAGATTATTTACTATAAAAATAATACTAATAGATTATTATATTTTTTTTAATCTAATTATATTTACTAGTAATACTTTCTGTACTATTTTTTTAATTATGATTTTAATAATAGTTTAGATTTTAATAAATTACTAGAACTTTAATACTATAGATATAATTATATTTAATAAATATAAATACTTCGGATTTTTAATCTTAAGATTTTAGCAGGCTTTTAAATAATTTTCTTTTTAATAATTAAGATTATTAATAGACTGCTGGATTTATTCTAGCTTTTTAAGCTTCTCGGGAGTAATTTTTATTAGATTATTTTTTTTATTTATTATTAGTAGAGCTTTAAAATCGGATATAACTAAATATTTTAATATTTTAAAAATATTATTTTTAATATTTTTAATAAACTTTTTAAAATTATTTTTATTTTTATTTTTATTTATTTTTTTAACAAGCTTTTCGGCTTTAGTAAGATCTTTTAACTTATTTAAAATTAATATTTAATTTATTTTTACTGTTAATTAAAAAAACTTAGTCGGATTATAGATATTTAATTTATAAAAGAGTTATAGCTGTTTTTTTTTATTTAAAATCTTAGCTTGCTACTAGAGCTTGTTTTTACTAAAATCTAATTTAAAAATTCTAGTCTCTAAGTTTTCTATATTATTTAATAGTTTTATTATTATTATTTTTATATTTGTTTTTCTCTTTTTTTTAATATAATAATCTGACTTTCTAGTTTTATATAGATTTATATCTTTTATAAAAGTTCTTTATATTAATCTAATATCTAATATTTTTAGTTATTTTATTTATCTTCGAAGTAAATAGTTCTAAAAATAAAGATTTCTTCTAACTTTTAGTTAATTTAACTAGATGAGTATATTATAATAAAAATAATATAAATCTTTTAAATAGTCTTTTTTTTTATTATTATTTATATTTTGCCGGAAGAAAATATTTTTATAATTTATCTTATTAGTATACTTTACTGTTTATAAAAAGTAAGTAAGATAGTTAGTTTTATTCTAGTTCTACTTATTTAAAATAAATATTAAAAATTATTACTATCTGTTTATTTTATTATAAACTAGATATTTTTATACTATTTCTAGTAAAATACTTTTTTTTTTATATATTTTAAGTAGTTATTTTATAGTTCGACTTAATATAGCTTAACTAATAATAACTTTAGTTAGTTAAGCTATAATTTATATAAAATTAAATATAATATTTTTTATAATTCTGTATATTTTTTTTTAAGATCGAGTTCTATTACTTACTTATTTTTATTTCTATTACTATTATTTAAATATATATTATCTAAAAGCTCTCTATATATAGCTAATAAATAGATTAATTTACTATATAATCTAATTATATTACTAAATATTATAAAAGATTATTATATATTATAAAAAATTACTATATATTATAATAGAGAAGAAAGAATATTATTATATATTATAAAAAATTGCTGGACATTGCTTTATAATTTTAAAAACTACTTATAAAAAAATATTAAAATCTTAGTTTTAAAGCTAAAATAAATATTAAAACTTAGTTTTACTTATCTTACTTACAGATAAAAAAAGATAGATATTAAGAATATTAAAAATATAGATTTTAGAATATATTTAAAAAAATAAAAAAATTAGTGCAGAGAATAAAAAGATAAAAAAAAATTAATAAAAAAAATAAAAAAATAAAAAAAGATTAGTATAAAAAATAAAAAGATAAATAGTAAGAGGTATAGAAGTTAAGATATATTATATAAAAAAAAGATTTTAGCTTTTAGTAAATAATTATATATATAAGAAATTAAAAAGGCCATATTAAGAAAAAAGTAAATAATAAAGTAAGATTTTGATAAAATAATACCTATTTTTAGTAAGATTTCGATAAGATAATACCTATTTTTAATAAGATTTAGATAAGATTATACTTACTTATATCTTAGTTTACAGAATAGAATAGTTATAATAATAGTTTAAATTACTATTATAAATAAGTATAAATAAAAAATACAACAGTTAGTATAACTCTAAGATTAAAATATATTATAATAGTAAATAGTATAAAAACTACTTTAGATCTAGTAAAAAAGATATAGTTTTAGTATAATCTATTATTTATATAAAGATTAGTACTCCTAGATTTAAAAGGCTTATAATTAGTCAGAACTTTATATAACTTTATTATAACTCTATATAACCGGAGCAAACCGCAGTACAACTACTGTAACTTACCCCCTCGGCCCGCTATGTATCTTTCCTTCGTCAGCGATCATAACCATGACCTACTTCACAGATTATCCCCTCCCCCAACCAGCTGGCAGCATAGCTAGTATAGGATCTTTGCATATTGCCTGGAGAGCCTTTTCGCCGTCCCCGAGCATATCACCAACAACATCACTTCTCTGTGCACGCAGAATCATCTCAGTAGTTATTCCTTTCGGGCCAAGTCAGCTAAGACCAAACTTTACTTAATAGGCTTCTCCTTGAGCCTCATTTCGCCCACAACCGGCGCGGAACCATATAACATCTTCGCGAAGTATAGCTCCACATTCGCTGACTAGGCAGAACTGTGGCATACTGCACCACCAGATACGACGCCCGAAGAAAAGCCATCGTTCCACCTCGAGACTTCATATTTTTGGGGTGGCTTTTTGCAGAATTGTCAGAAACAATGCCAACCGGGGTCACCGATAGGAATGTCAACAGCTTCATTTTCGGGAATGGGGTAAGTTCCCCCTCTTCTCCTCCCTCTTCCGCTTGCGCCCTGCATTCTATTTTCTACGCCTCTCCGCCTCCTTCTCCGGCGTCCAGCTTGGATGGAAGGAGCAATATCCTTTCTTCTCCTTCTCAATGCAATCGGCACATGCAGCCTGCTCAGTCATACGGTTTGCTTCCCGATTCTTTGTGCTGATGGCAAGGCAATCTCTCCGTTCTCCCAGCCCTTTCTGGCAGCCAAGCACTGGCACTGCAAAAAGGAGGTTTCTCCGTACCATTGCCCACAGAGAACCCGAGTGGGCGATACATGGGACAAAATGTGCGGAAGTTGGAAACTGAAATTCGCGGCGACCATTACATGTATAAAGGTCTTGGTCAGAACTCGCTGATATCCGCTTCTACCCTCCTATTTGATAACCCTGATGATCTCCCCGATTGGGAAGGTTCCTATTCCGCAGTGCTATCGTCTGATCCGAGGATGAAATTCCGTTCTGGTGGATCTGTAACCCGGGCAGTACGGATGGCTGTGAGCCTTATATGGCGTTTTCATGCGTTGGGATGAGACGCTATTACTTTTTCTTGATGCACGGTCATCTCTTGATATATTGAGGTGAGGCAGAGCGGCAAGAGGACGCACAATGTCATCAAATTGTTGCAAGTTTTGTTGATGTTTCTGCTCTGGAATTACATCTGCACCGTTCGATCGTGTCATCTGACCACCGTGGAGATGCTGCTATAGATGCCCAACGCTGGCTGGGAGGTCATTCATGGTTCTTCCATGCGGTAGGTTCTCGAGGAAGATCTTCAGTGGATCTTCAGCCCATGGGCCCTCAGCCTGAGCTTGGATGCGTCGGTTTACTTCTTGCTCATCAGGTGGAGGTGCTTTCGACGACAGTTCCGTTGGCTTCCAAAAGAGGAAGCACCGACACATCGGTAAACCTGTTAACGGGGGTGCTGATCGGCTATCTCTTCGCCAGTGTGCTGCTCCTCAAGAAGAGTCGCCGACGACAAATCGCTATCGGTGGAAGCACCTCCTGCAGGTCCCTCAGGGCGACCTCTGTGGAGAGAAATTCTGCATACCGTAAGATAGTTGCTAGCTGAGATCTCCTCCTTCTCCTTTGCTTTTGAAGCTCTCTTCCCTGCACGTTGTTCGTATTCGCTTGCCTCATTGACAAGGACTGGCGCCCAGATACACTGCGGATGCAAACTAGCAAAGAACATAGCTAGCTCACATTTCGAATAACCCATCCCTCTGCATCAGTGCTATGCTACCTGATGAGTTCAAGATAGCGGCAAATGACTAGAACAACTCAGTCTGATATCAGTTCCCGCAGAGCTTTCTCCATGGCACTATTGTCGAGTGGGATCTGGAATGTGTTCGGTATTCGATATTCGCATACCACTACTGTAGGGGTTTGATGTCATCGTAGGAATGGGCCAATTGCCTGCTCTCTTATAGCAAAGCACATTACGACTGAGACTCGGTGGACCGTGTGGAGATACATCTGTAGATTGAGGCCTGATGAGGTCAGCTGGTAACTGAGATCACTGCGCGAAACTGGAGAACAGTGATCTAAATAATCTTTTGGATCATGTAACAAAGTTTACGCGTTCCTGATATCTACCTCCGATATGGTGTAACGGTTAGCATACCTGTCTCTCACACAGGAGATCGGGGTTCGATTCCCCGTATCGGAATTACAACGTCAGTTTTCTTTTTGTTGTTGTTTTACCCTCGGTTTCACCGGCAAGGGGAAGGCATGAAACCATACGACTGACGAATTTCCTTCTATGCTACTTTGCCCTTCGCATTCTTCCTCGAATGCTTTTCATTATTAGCTCGTCCATAGCGATTGATCAATTCCTTTTATCTGATCTGGGTGGTGTTCGTAATTCGTATGGTTTCTTGCGATCCATCCGATCATTTAGATCACTGTGCCTCAACTTCACGCAGTGTCTCCTGAGTCAAATGGTCCATATAGCCCCTCTCACTCGGAGTAGGTGTGGGCCAATTATCATCTGACCATCCCACTATCTAGGGCTGGCACCGAGAACGCAGTTGTGATTGCTACGAAAGATAGGATAGGGGAGGGGCCTATCTTCATCAGCTTGAGGAATGCATTCTTCCGCCGCTGACACCCAATCCGAGCCCTGATTCCACGTTTTGCTTCAGTAACCAAACCCATGTAGAAGAAGAGAAATCTGTCGTCTTTTTCGAGATTGAGTGCATATACTCCGCATTCATGTTTTCGCACTCTTCCAGAAGGCCTTCAGCTTCGAATGTGCAGGTATGTTTGAAATGAACGATGTCTCTAAGCAAGGCGCACGGAAATACTCAGCAGGGTGCTCTCAGAGTGCAGGCATAAGAACCTCCAGAGTGTAGGATCATCATCTTTTCCTAGCTTTGGTCATTCTGCAAGCTCTTTTTTGGTCACCGAATCAAACTCAACCGATATAGACTCCACCACAGCACTGGGATCCTCCGATTCTTGGATAGGTCGTGCATCTGAGTCGGTCTGAAAAGCCTCCTTGTAGTGCATTATCTCTTGGGCCCCGGTTCTTGGGCCCCGGTACTGATGGGGTTTAAGGAGGCATCGGCGAAACCGAGGACGGTGCTTACACAGTAAGACAATCTTTCCTCGCTTGTCAGCCTCACGCTTCTTTTGCGTTGCAACCATGAACCACATTGTCGTTGCTGTTAGTCTGAAGAATCCGGTGGCGATGAGTGACTAGCCCCTTTGAGCATCTGGCCTAAGGCTGTGAAAATCATGCAATGACTTTCCCTAACGACTCGACACAGCACTAGACTCTCGAATGTAGCCACTCCATCCATGTCGTCGTCCATGAAGCATTCGAACCTTATTCCACACTTGTCGTGAGGTTCGCAAGGGAAGCCCCATTGTAGGGAGCTAGGATAGCACCTATATCGATGTCCTTCAACCTTGTGTACGTCCCCGGAGCACCAGAGGATGGGTAAATGTGTGCTTCTTCGATGTCCGGATAATCGGCCTTAGTGATTATGCACCGCCTCTGATCTCGAAAACCTGCCTTCTTGCTCTCTCTGGGATCACGCGGGGTGCGGTCCGACACCGAAGCTGACCGCACCGAAGGGTTTTCGTGGGGGCAGTATAGGAGTAAGTTCTTGTCCCTTGCATCGATAGCAAAGTTGGCCGAGAACTGTGCTGAAGGCAGTCTTGTACAAATATATTATTGCCAACGGGCTCGCCCAATATCCAGTTGCGGCGTCTCTTTGGAAAAAACCTTGAATTTTGCTAATGCTAAACTGTTGAGGATAGGCTTGACTCGGCGTATAGGGTAGGTCCTCTTGATCGTCGCGTCGTTCAAGGTAAGTTACTGATGAACCATTCGAAATTCACCGCTTCAATTCCGAGAAGAGGCTGACGTTGCAGCTCTTGAGAAATTTAGCAGATTGACCCGAATTGTGCTTAAAATCCAGTGGCGGCAGCCAGACAAGTCATACTCGAACTTTTGTTGTCAGATATTCAACCGCGTCTGGACAGCGTCAGGATTAGAACATCAACCCGTCTGGCCGAGAGCGTCATTGCCAGGTCTACAGCGAGAGGCGCCTCCGTCAGGTTGAACTATAACGAGGACGCGTCTCGCTGCGCCTGCGCGTCGATATCTAGAAATCCAATATCTTGCCTAATAAGCCAGCGATTTTGGTTAAAGCGGAGCGTGATTGGGGACGAAGCAAGGTTGCCCCCCTATCTGTGGGGGAGGCTATATTTTTCGATCTTACTATCATAGAAAATCTTCGAAGTGGCGTTATAGATGAGTTTTTGGCTGCGGTACTGTGTGTTTAGAGTATATGTTGTATAAGATTTGTTTATTAATCGCTCAAAGGCCGGAGCGTTCCAGGCCTCCTTATCCTTGGGGGTAGAACACAGGGGTGCCAACTGGTTGTAGTCACCCACCAGCAGGATGTTAATAGCCTGTGGTAGCTTTGTAAGGGCGTAGAATAGTTCTGGGTCTCTGAAGAATGTTGCTTCATCGATGATCAGGAATTTAGGATAGAATTGTCTTCGCAGCATTTCGGGCAGCACTCCTGTCCCCCAGTAGACGTGCAGCTTCCTGCTTAGTGTGACGATGTTGCTTGGGCTCGCATTCAGCCAGTCACTTGTTCTGGCTTTGAGCGGCAGTTCTATGCTGCGCAACCCGACAAGGGCCATGATTAGTCGGTGCTGGAGCATTGATATCTGCACGATACTGAGATAGTAGCTTAGCGCAAAGGTGCCCAGAGCTTTATGTCTTGGTGGAGAAAACCCATCAAATCTTGATCTGCCTGCAAGGCCGCCTTTATGGGGCTTTGAAGTGCTCGGTTGTTGTGGCTCTCCGAGATTAAGAGTGTATAGATCAAAAGACCTTGGATCCCTAGGCGCTAATTTGGAGAAGCCAAGCAGCCTGACGTCTTGAGCAATGGGTCGATACGCTAGATGTCCGCGAGTCGCTGCCTTTCTAAGTTTCGATAAACATATGACAGAAAGCTTGTCAAGCGGGCAAAAGAGGGATGCGCGCCAGACATTTGTTAGTTGGGCCCATGCTTTTCATAGACAGTGACGTGAATCGATTTTCGGTCATGAACGTAGAAGATGGTAGTGGTTTCGGGTTTTATGTCATCAAGCATCATGTCTTATAGTTCCGTCAGCAATCGCAGTCCAAGCATGTCGGGGGCAAACTGAGGGCATGTCAGTAGATACTAATCATATTTTTATCATCTTTGTTCATGATTCCCTCCTTCCTTACAAGGACTATCGTCCTGTATTGAGAGGACTCATTCTAGGCAGAAGACTCGAGTCTTCATACTCCTTTCCTTTCATTGTAGGCGGGTGGTTCTCGCTGTCTCGATCTCTGACCCCTGCTCCACCTAGCCCACGCAACCTTACCAAGAAATTAAGATGGCGGATAATTCAACCATTGCTGCTGGTCTCTGAGCTTGTGAAGTGCTCGAGAAACTGACGCAGTAAGACGCGTGCCTTCTGCGATGTAAGGTGCCTCTCCGCCCTGCAAAATGCATTCGTGGTAAGGTCCAGATCCAGTGAAATACTCGACAGAATCTTTCTAGACTTCCAGAGTCAGACAATGCCCAGTAACTGAGCCCATCGTACTCGAACTTAAGTAAACGAAACGCTGCCCGAGCGCCTGGCCACCGGAGGTCATCTCTGCGGTCGATATCCTGCGATACAGCTGGTGCGATGCAATCGCCGCCATCAGGAGAACTTGCGTATCAATTAGCCATAGATCCAATCACCCTTGCAGAGATACCAAGCTTACTGTAGGCGCACGATGTCCTGGTTCATTTGACCAGACTTGCGAGGCTCATAGACGTGCCTCATGCTTGGCTTTACCCTCTTTCGCTGCGTGTCTCTGTGCCTCACTGTGACAGAAGCCTTTGGGATTGAGACCTGATTCGAAGCACTCTATCTCAAGGAGCAAGGCAGCTCGTGCGGGCCCGACCAGGCACCATCAGCGGGACCCGATCCACAGGCTTACCGCGGGCTGCGACAGCCGCAATCGCTTGAAAGCACTTGTTCGCTAAGGTTCCCTTGGTGTCGTTCTCGCATTACAGCTGGAAATGACTCGGCTGAAGCAGAGACCGCTTGGACTGCCTAGAAATGACTAGATAGGTCAGGAACCGGTTCCTGAAGGTTTCAGTAGTCTCATTTAAATCGAGTGTCGCGTATGTCTTGGCTTCCGCTTTGAGCTGGGTATCATCTACTGGAATGGGACTGTCAGTAATCTCATTGTCATCCGCTTGGTCAGAGTCATCTACAACTGAGTCAGCTGTATCGAATAAAGCGTCGTCGTCACTCTCAAAGGTTGCTTCAGCTATATCAGGAACTATTCCTTCATCAAGAATTCCTCGACACCAGATGACTCAGGCCAGTTGGCATCGTCCACAGGGACCTAGGCTCCAAATTGGACATCTGACTTCCCGATTTTATCTGCTTTCGTAATCCGCTTTATGCGAATTCCTCATCTGAGGGTAGGCAGTCCCGAGTCACAGGTGTCAACATGAACCTCATTCTGAAGAGTTTGGATCTAGCGTTGAGAATGAGGGATTACAATCCGTATGACCTGTTCGCCAGTATCGTGATGTACGTCAAGCCTCTCATTCGAAGACATAGAACGACTTATCTTTGAGTAAAAGAGAAAATTTCCGTGGCTTTGTGAGCATTTTGTCTTGTCACGGCGAATTCCATCGGCGCGAATTCCATCGGCCTGCATGAGAGAGTGCCTGTTTGAACTTGATAGTGATTTGAAGGAGATGGGTCTCCTTGCTTCTTACTTCTGCTGTCGCCGTTGACAGCGATATTATGGTGAAAGGAAGATCATCTGTTTTAGGTCTCGCCTCTGTGGTGTGGATTCTCCGTCCATGCTGGAGCTTTGGGTGAGCCTCGTTGTAGGGTTGCCTGTCGCTCAGTGTCCATTTTGAGACCTGATTATCCTTATCAGCTCATGTATTCAATCTTAGTCTGTATTGATACTCAGAATAGGCGCGTCAGGTCGACGGGGGGCATCCAAGAGCGAAATCCAAGGAAACCGTGCTGCCAGAGTTGACCGGGAACCTGTATCCAGGCCTTGTCACCAACTGCTACAATGCCGTACATAGTATACCAAGCCTGACTGCTATTGTAAACGCCCGCCAGGCCATGCTGCAGCTCACGCTTGAGCACCGACCAGCAGTAATTTCCCTTCCAACCAGGCCGACTGTTACGCGGAAACTGTTTGGCTTTGAAAGTTATCACCTTCTGCTGCTTGTGAGAGGCACATTGGCCGTGTATCTGGCCCTCTGGTGGGTGTATGACTCTCGCTCCACACTATAACCAGTGCAGAGGGGAAGGTATCTGGGAACATGTCTTGTTTTTATGGTTGTTTTCTTCACTGTCTGCTGACAGGAGGAATTGGAGTTTCAGGGGCAAACACGAAACTGCATACTTTGAGCAGCAACAGCATCTCAGCCCCACAATCAGGACGGATCACTTAGGGCAAGCCTTTCCTGCTGCAGAGCGTTGTACAAATGGGCGGTGTAAATGGTCAAACCCTCGATGGTGAGAAGCATCGATTGTCCCAAGTGCGATAACCTGAAATTATATCATGCGCATTGTCCCCTCCTCAAGTTCTTTGTGGGTGTCACGCATGGGCCTTCCTCTTATCGACAAGGTGAAAGATTCGTTCGAGGCTCTGACCAGATCTGGGTCTTCCTACCTGACTCGACTCTGTTGCCTACCCATACGATATTTGTCGGAATCATCCGGTGCTGGGCGAAAGGACTGAATATCTCTTCCAGTCAAAAGTCCAAACTTCATTGCATGAACACGGGTCAAATCCCAAACAAACTCTCTCTCTCGGGAGACATCTCATAGAAAGCTCCCTTTCCGATGACACCTGTTCCCGGTGGCTGGAAGCTGGAAAAGCTGCCTCATATAGAGATAGTTGTGACTCCGATGTAGAACATATAGGCTCTGGGAACCTATCCCGTGCTCTTTATTGGCTTTGAGTGGGCTGATCATAATTGGTGTGTGCTTGCATTTGATCCTACCAAGCTTGGTAAGCGTCGCCAGATAGAAAATCGGACTAGATGACACCCCTCTCCATCTCCTGGGTGATTGATGGCTTGGTAGAGTCTAATCCGTACCGGTGAGCGGCATTAAGCAGCACATTCGGATGATTGGTGGTAAGCCGCGCTAAACGTTCTTACAGAGCAGCTGGATAAGAACGATAAGCCCTCATCGTACCACTCAGTGTCTGTAAGGGGTTCTCTCCCAAGGTTCAGCAGTTTATTTGCCCTGATGAATGTCCTTGCAGTCCTCTGAAGTGTCATCTTGCGCGTGAGACCCTCAGTTCGTCCTAACTCTGTAATTGAAAAAGAGTCTCCGCATCACCTTGCCACTTCTCAGATATATTCGTGGGACCTTCATTGATGTCCTGTCTTGTTCTGACAAATAAGAAATCTCAGCAGGAAGAAGATAGAGTGTCTCCCGTGACATGCACGGCAGACGAACCTTCACAAGCCGGAGTAGTCTTCAGTATCCTGCTCGACATGATGACGAGAATCCGGGTTTCGGGCTGGTCTTGTCCGTGGAAGACCGCGTGCCACCACAAATTGTCGAAGTCCCGGGATAGCTGCTGCGCCTGCTCCTTGGTCCGACTTTTCTGGAGTGTCGGGAGTTTTGGTTCCTTGCAGTAAGCACACGGGGTCAATGAAGATAACGGAGTACGTATGAAAGAAGCCATCAATGCGAGTAGTCGGCCGCATTGTGCGGCAGTCCCGTTATATTAGCCCATCAATTGACGGAGGCCGGGCTCGACTGAGCACCACCGTCGCACACTCACCCTAGAGGTTGAGGCCGACGGAGGCCAGGCGGTACGTCGCCACGAGCACCTCCGCACCGCTGTCCTTGCTGGTGAACGTGGCTGCGACGTTGCCTCGCTCCTCCGGGGACTGGTAGGCCCACATCTGGCAGACGCCGATGCCAAGCGTCTGAAGGAACATGGTGAGGGCCCACTGCGTGAGGAGCCAGCGGCAGAAGAAGATGATGCGCGGCGGGCTCTTGGTTCTGGAAGCGACGAGGTACCTCACCTCCTGCAGGTAGCGGGCAATATACTGGAGCTTGGGCGAATCCCACGCGAGCCATTAGGCATTCTGGACGTCGTTTATGAAAGGCATCTGCGAGGTGTCGGTGCGCATGTGCAGTTGGTAGTAGGTGAACCCGTGGTCCGGCTGGGCGAGACGCTCCCGGAGCCGGTTGGCGAGGCCGTCCTCGGACGAACCGGTGCAGGCGCCGCCCGCTTAGCCTGGGCGATTGCTGGCGCATCGGGCTGGTCGAATCTCGGGGTGTCGAACATGTCAGGCTCCCAAGTAAGTAGTCTGGAGGTTATGCTTCGCTTTCCTTTGAAATGGCCTTGACTTCATATCCTGGTGATATAAAGCCAAGCATATGGAACTTGATATGGGATTAAGAAGCTCGCATATAGACCTTCGTATAAAGCGTATAATCGATCTGGACTGAAGCCGACCCATCATTCCATATTGCCATTGCCGATCTCGCACGGGGCTCATGTTCTGACTTGAGTCCTCTAGTAATGCCAACAAATATGTTGTTGGCGACGTCGCCTCTCTTGATCGGAGTAGAGATAACGGGGTTCAGTACAACCCTTTCCAGAATCCGGACACGAATCATATCTTATCGGTTCGATACAGAGCTGTCAAGCACCTATGAAGACAGCCAGCTTGTTGTTACCATTCAATAACGTGGTGAACATGAATTAAACATCAGGCTGTGCCATACCTTCATCTCTTTCCTGGCTGTTCGACAGCTGCAGTCTGGCTGCCGGCTCGAGGGCTGCGGAGCAGTCACGCTTCTCTTTATAGCTTGCTGCTCATCCGACCGAAGAGAGGTCAAATTTGTATTGCTCTTCTTTTTCTTTCTTGGAAGTGGCTCTGGTGCATCTGGTCCCTCACAGCTGTAAGGTGATTAAGAAGCCGTGATATTCGTGCCCCATCTCCGCTGGAGAGCGAAGCTGTCTCCTGCTCCATCGTGAAAGACCTTCGACGTGGTCTCGTGAATATGTGTTTGCTCCTGTACTGTATGTTGAGTATGCAGGCCTGATAGTCCCTCTCAATGAGCCTTTCGACAGCCGAGCTGAATCATGCTTCACGACCCTGAGGTGTAAAGCACATTGGCGACAGCTGGTTGTAGTCTCCGACGAGAAGGATGCTACTTCCTCAAAGAAGTTTTGTCAAGACAAACAACCATTCCGGATGATGAAAGAAAGTCGCCTCGTTGATGATAAGGTATCTGGAAACTCTCGCCGCAACATCTCGGGCATGGTCAGTGGATTGGTTTACCACAATATCAATCTTGCGCATCATGATATTCAAGACCTTTCGACGGGACTTCTCATAGCTACAAGATTCCCCGCCACGGCTGATTTGCCCAAACAGGTGGGTCAGGGCTTCCATAAGCTTATCAGAGTCTTGACAGTCCTCTTCCAGGGCCTCAAGATAGCTCGCAGCCATAACAGCGAGACCATCCCCGATATCGCCGCCCTTGGACGCCCCCTGTTCCTTGCACTGAGCCTGTATGTGAAGTTCAACGGCCTGGCAAAGCTTGCCTGCCTTCATAAGCTGGCGCGCTACCTCCACTTTCTCTGCTGCTCCCGCCTTCCCAAGGCGCTCAGCCTCTATCATCCATGATGAGCTAGCGAAGTATCAGTCCTGCTTTGATTGATAGTTGATGCCTTTGGTACGGACTTACCACTTCTTCGATAGGCACGCCCATTCTCTCCAGCCCTTTGCGATGCTAGCACTTCTTTTGGACCTGATTCTGGTCTCTCTGGAGATTAAGCTGATAGACTGATCGAATATATTACCTGTGCCATGGCTGCCGAATGCTACTGGCTTGTCCATACCAGGCATTTTATGGCCTTCGCTTCACCACCTGATTCTCCTGTGCAATGCCCCCGTTGTGCCGGATGCCGCGTAATTTGTTGATTTATTCATAAGAGCTCTCCAATGAAAGTAAGGCGGAACGACTGAAGCCATTGCAGCCTGAATTGTGGGGGGGGGGGGGAATAGAGAATGCTCATCGAGAAGGACAACGAGAGCAGAAGTGTGAAAAGGAAGGTGATAATGATGTTTGCGTCGGCGCACAGGCCCCAGAGATGCTGTTTCTGTTGGAAGAGCGAGGTCTTTCGGTACTATGGCTTAAAAATGGATGCCCTCTGATGTTTAGCAAGTCCGGTGTCACGACTGGGGGTTTGACTCGGAGATCAATGCTGTGAGAGTCTTGCTGTCTCAAAGGTGTTGCGGGAAGAACAAGCACCAGGAAGTCGTACACGGTTAGCGACGGCGTCTCCAGTTTCGGTGGAGATCAAGTTCTAGCTACCTAGTTATGAATGTATGATTGAGCTTTAGGAAAGAGAAGATAGATTGCCAAGGACTACTTCTGACTTGGCTTCGACGATGTGGGCTTGAAAACAGGGGAACACGAGCCAGCGTTTGATGTATTTGGAGTATACCAAGTACTGTACAAGCCTGAGAACTTCTCATGTTGACTCTTGAAGATGGAAGATGGAAGATGGAAGATGGAAGATGGAGGATGGAAGATGGAAGAAGAAGAATGAGAGAAGAAGTACAGACTCAGGGTGTAAGGAAGTTGGATACAGAGGAGGAGGGGAAGAGGAAGGAGAGGAAGAGAAGGAAGAAACCGGAGGAGCTTAAGCATTGAAGATCCAGCTGTGTAGCTGCAGCCTTCAATGAAAGCGCAGTTTCCTGCTCGGTGAATACCCCATCTAGCAACAATTCACACCGTCAATCAACATCCTCCTCAAGACAATGCAGGATCTATTCACCCAGACCAGCAGTGAATAAGCCATTCCTAGCCACCACCAGACAGAGACTACAGTATATACCAACCGAATAAGCGAGTCGGCCGAGAGCAGGGGACGCCCTATCAAGACCAATCTTCCACCAATCAAGGGCAGGAACCACTCGGAAAGGAAGCCGAGCGATAAGTGCAGGTGCGAAGGGCGCGCGGGGCACGTGGGGTCGACCTTCAGAGCTCACGTTATCGAATTTCCCTATCACTTGCACCGTCAGGCAGTGCTATCGATCTTCTGCACGGTCTACACCCGAAACTCTTTTCCGTTCGGGGTATTGCATTCCGTGTGTCGGCCATCTATAAATCTCTTGTCTACCCCACTTTCTTTCCAGCTGCACACAGCAATTCTCAAGGTATGTTTTGAACTACCCCTCATCACCCTACCTTGTACTGTACCATAGCTCAATCGACACCATCTCACCAGCTTATAGTACAGTACAACCCGCACAACACCGCAACAATGGGCTCAACCAACCCCAAACCCAAGGTCCTACTGATCGGAAAGATCGACCAGTGCGTCCCCCCTCCTTTACCAGCAAACCAAGTGACCAGCACCACCACTAACCCCATCCCAGCGCATACGCCACCTGGACGGGCCTCAGCGACATCGCCGACCTCCTCGAAACAACCGCCACCAACCGCGAGGAGTTCATCCAAGAATGCAAGTCCGGGAAGTACGACGGCGTCGTCGCGGCCTACCGCACCCTGGGATCCATCAACATCACCGGCCTCTTCGACCAGGAGATAATCGACGTGCTGCCCTCGTCATTGGTGTGGATTGCTCATTGCGGTGCGTGCTTGCGCCTAGCCCCAGCCTTTTCTCCCCTTGCCATCACCCCAACCCTCCCCGGATTCCCCCAACGCCCCCCCAAACTAATCCCCAGAATAGGAGCGGGCTACGACCAAATCTCGATCCCAGCCTGCACATCCCGCGCTCCCCAACCCATCCGGGTCTCCAACGTGCCCACAGCACCGGACAACGCCACCGCCGACGTCAACATGTTCCTGATCCTGGGTGCGCTCCGCAACTTCAACGCGGGCATGCAGAACCTACGCACCGGGGACTTCCGGGGCAAACCGGGCAGCACCCTACCAGCGCTGGGCCACGACCCGCAGGGCAAGACGCTGGGCATCCTGGGGATGGGCGGGATCGGGCGGAACCTGAAGCGGAAGGCCGAGGCGTTCGGGATGCGCGTCATCTACCACAACCGGCGCGCGCTGGGCGCCGAGCAGGCCGACGGGGCGGAGTACGTGAGCTTCGACGAGCTGCTCGCGCGAAGTGACGTGCTGTCGTTGAATCTGCCCCTCAACCCGAAGACGAGGCACATCATCAGCCATGCCGAGTTCGCCAAGATGAAGGATGGCGTCGTGGTGGTCAACACGGCGCGCGGCGCGGTCATGGATGAGGAGGCGCTGGTGCAGGCGTTGGACTCCGGGAAGGTGTTTTCCGCGGGGTTGGATGTCTTCGAGGAGGAGCCGGCGGTGCATCCCGGTTTGTTGCGGAATCCCAACTGTGTGCTTGTGCCGCATATGGGGACTTGGACGGTCGAGGTGAGTTTCTTCCTTTCCTTTTTCTGTCTGTCAGTTTGAGAGTAAAGTGGCTAACAGAGTCTTTGTTGCAGACACAAACGGCGATGGAGGAATGGACGATCGGCAATATTCGCTCCGCCTTGGGGACGGGCAAGTTGAAGAGCCCCGTTCCTGAGCAGGCAGACCTTTAAACGATAAGATGCAAAATTGTATATACGGCATAGAAACGTTAATAGAGGTTAAGAATCGGACTGCTTTTTTTGTGTATGTACAATGGTCTCATTATTTCATTGTCTTCAGACGAAGTGTCTAGACACTAGCGCCAACCCATACAGTCCCCTCTCCACAGGCAAAAGCAACATCACGAAGCAATTATGATACCTGTTCAGGTAATGCAGCCGTAAACGCCGTGAACTGCCCGTCCTTCTGCTACCAAAATCACAAAAAGTAAAAAAACTCAATCCCAAGGGTAACTCCGGGCCCAGGTGTGACTTCTCTACCCATGTCCAACCCACCTGGCAGGTCTATCCACCCCCGACTACTGTTAGCGGGAACTCCCTCAATGACCAGACAGAAAGTCTGGTTGAACATGGTGAATCGGTACGCAGCGTACCGACGCGCTTTTCGTATGACAGATCGCAAATTGCTCGCATCAGAAAGAATGAATCACCCCGCTGGTCACTCCCGGGAAACGATCCAGGACCGAACGACCATGCCGCAGATGCGCTTGATCACTTGTGTTGTACCCTTGCCGCCGGCCTCCTGTTCGAGGAACTTCTGTGCGACATACAACTTGGCTCCCGCGTCCTTCTCGTTCGTCGTGATCGGTTGCGGGAAGCTGCGGGGGAAGTCCGCCCACCGTTGTCCCAGGTGACGCGCGATAGCGATTGAATAGATCACATCTCGGTTCTCGTACGTGTCCAACAATGTTCGGCAGCGGGCCAGGGTATCGTCGATCTCCTTGGCCGAGCTGGCTTCGTTGTCGTGTAGCGTGAGGAAGTATCCGACGGCGCTCCAGAAGTCCAACGACCGCTGTGTGAGCTGATCCGGCAGCGAGGGGGGATTAGCAGCCGGCTCCCGGGTAGGAAACTGGCTCAGAGGGTTGGAGTCTAAATGTTCGCCCGTGATCATTGCCTCAATCACATCCAGCCTCTTCGCCGACGCTAGCAAATCGTACTCAGGCTGAGCACCTCCGGACACGTTCATAACATGACGGCACAAGGTCATCGAGCTCCACACCACTGACGCTTCGAAACTCTCCAACCGAGCAACCACGTTCGGGTCATTCAGATTGGGGTCGTTGAAAGCATCGATCAAGGCGGAGTACTCCGCCATGAGCTGTGCATTTGCCAGCAAATGAGGCAACGCTTTATCCTGGAACCACCTGGTTTCGAAAAACTTGTCTATGGCGGGAGCATAGGTTGCGAGGAACACGGCTTGGATTTCCTCAAGCCGGTTAGGCGGCAGAGATGTGATGGGGTGCGGAGGGGGAGGGGGAATTCCTCGCAGGGCAAGAAGGTCGCTGATCTGCACTTGTTTCACTGCGGGCCGAGTTAGCATGCTTACAGCACCATCGTAGGTAGAAGAGTATACCTCTAAAACTGGTGGCCTCCGACGGGGTGCCAGTAGCATTGGTTGCTGCCGGGTTCACCGTCGGCTGCAGGCCTCCTTCAACGGCATGCTGTATGCTGGCCATGTTCTGCTGGTTGTTCACGTCGGCGGAGTGATCAACGGGCGCTCCGTAGCTATCGTAGCGGTCGGTTGACGTGCTGGGCGATTCGGAAGGAGCAAACGGTTGCGACGCGGCAGGTACGTAGCCCGGAGGAGCTTGAGGGTAAGAGGTGGAAGGATCCTGCGGATTTACCACCAAAGAAGGATGCGGATTAGGGGCGGGTTGAATAGCAGAAGGCGTTGGTTGTTGCTTAAACACGGGGTCGTAACCAAGACATTCCCGTTTACTTTTGACACAGTTCCGACAGACAGGATGACCCTCGTCACACTAGTGTGCATTAATTAGTTAGCGGGGATATCGATGAAGGGTACAAACCCAAAGTCCACAGAGGAGAGGTCAAAGAAGAAGAACAAAAGAAGTATAGAGTGACACAAAGAAGTGACCGCTCAGGGTATCAAAAAATAAATGTGAGCGTGAATAGTTAGGCGGGGAGGAAAGCAGCAACAGTGGTGAGTGGGCGAGAACAACAACAAGCGACAGGCGGGGTTCGGCGAGCCGAACAAACATTTGCGGCGGCGCAAGCGAACACTCGCCTGTTGCGACCGCCTGCCATTGTCTGCCCGCCCGCCCGCCCTCCTTGCAGTTCAGTTTCACCTCCCCTCCTCTACCTCCCCCACATTAATCACCCTCACAACAGAACACACATTATCGATCAAAAAGATCACACATGCTATGCTTGCACAAATGCACATACCTTAATTCGTCGCTTACGACATGTTAGGCACCCCGTTTTCGTCCGACGCTTAACCTCCTTCTTGTGTCTCCCGCCCGACAACATCTTGTTAGGGTCACCCGGAAGCTGGTAACGCATCTGGGAGTTGGCATTCATCCCCATTTGACCAACATTGGTAGGGTATCCCGTCATGTACTGGCCAACGGACGTCATCGGAGGCATGTTTGAGGGCATGGGCGAACCAATGGGGGCCTGTGGCATTTGGGAGTGCTGTCCCTGCATCGAATGGTGATCCATGGTCTGCATCGACGGCGCACTCATGGATTGGTGGTTGTGATACATGTCCGAGCTCTGGTGCTGCTGGTACTGTTGCTGTTGCTGGTGCGGTTGTGTCGGTGTCGACTGCCCCGGACCTTGCTGGTGTTGAGATGGCGATCCATGCTGCGATTGCGTGTGCTGCTGCTGCGGATGATGTTGGTTGTGGGAGTATTGATGCTCGTAGTGGTTATGGGGTTGCGGCGGTTGGCCTGGGTGTGGGGACTGCTGATGTTGATGTGTGTGGTGGGACAAATGAGAGTGCTCCTGCTGAGCGGGCTGCTGCGAATGCGTGTCGTTCACTGGAGGATGATAGGAGGGAGCGGGGGTCGAGGAATGGGGCGTGTGATCGGGAAAGTCGAAACCATTCGTTCCTGGTGGGTGTGAATGGTCCACCCCATGGCCATCGGTGTCACTTTGTTTTAATTCCGGGAACGAGAAGTCGGGTTCCTCGGTATGTAGCCCGTCCGTAGCTGGAAGCGTAGTGTCGAGCGGCGGTAAAGATGTATCGATTGGAGGAAGCGACGGTATCGTCGTATCGATTGGGGGCAGTTCATGACTGAGACGTTCGTGTTCCTCCATCGCTGGCAGAGTCGTATCGATTGGAGGGAGTGAGGTATCGATATGGGGAAGCGCGTGGTCTACTGGCGGCTCGCTGCTGTGCTGCTCAGTTGACGGCATCTGAACCGAGGGCATCTCAAGGGGAGGCTGTTCGGCAGGAGGCTGCTGAGGAGGGGGTTGCTGAGGGGGAGACTCTTGATGAGGGGCCTGCTGATAGGGAGGCTGCTGAGGGGGAGGCTGCTCGTGGGGCGGCTGCTCATGTATAGGCTGCTCATGGGGAGGCTGCTGAGGGGAAGGCTGTTGCTGAGGGGGTTGCTGATGAGGAGGCTGTTCAAAGGCAGGCTGCTCATTAGAGGGCTGCTCAGCGGGAGGTATTTGAGGAGGAGGAATTTCAGCAGAAGGCATCTCAGTCGGCTCGGGAGCCGGCTTGGGCGCCTCCTCTGCTGGATTCGTCGAATCTGTTGGCTCCGCCATCTCAATAAGAGTTCGACACCTCTGTCACCCGTGCGTACGATAAGAATAAATGTATTCGAGCCTTGGAAAGGCTTTCCGGTCTGTCGGACGGGTCGAGGTCGGCCACGGATGACTTTTACCGCTAGCAAAGACTTTGCAGGGAATGCGGAGCCGATGGGTGCTGTTTCTCTAACTCAAAAGGTAAAGCATGTTAGTGGGCTGATTCCGATTAACGCGACCCAACGACACTCTGGCAACCCTGGGACATCATGGCTGTTCGTATCGAACAGTTGGTGTCGAGACTGGTCGGTTCTTTTGGCTCGCGCATTTGTCGGGGTTTCGAGTTCCGACGCGATTCCCTCGAAAATTGTCCGCATACGGAGGGTGCTGGTACGATCCACGATGCGTTGGCTACCGTCTCCTAACCTGACCAAGCCCCGTCCAAATATCCAAGCTCTTTCATCTTGTGTCCCAAAAGGCAGTGCAGCCTTGTCAGACCGGGCAACGCTGGATGCGACCGTCTAGAGCCTCCCCGAATCCTACCCCAGGACGGCACTGCCACGGCGGAAGAATCGTACATGGTGCACTGGCGGAGGTCGAGATACCATGCGAGTCCGGTAGTAATTACCCCGGTCGAAGAAACAAACCGGCGAGTCGACAAGTCACAATGACCGAGGCAGACAGAGGTCGAGCGCGTGTCGGGGGGGGTTGCCAGAGGGGAGGGATCGGGACAAGCAAATGGGAAGAAGCTCTCGTTTACTCACCATGCACTGGGCCAGATAAGCGAAAAGAAGCGAGCCGAATGACTATAGCACCAAAACACGCAATGCGGCACCAAATAATCTCCGCATTTGGGGGTGGGAGGGGGAATATGGGAATGCGACAGGAAAAGGCTGTTGCGCAGATAAACGAGCGAGGCAGAGAGAGCGCGAGAGCTTCGGAGCCGCGAAAGAATAGTGAGAGGGTGAGAGAGAGGGAGAAAGAGAAGAAGTTGAGTGAGTGAGAGAGTCAGTCCCCGGACTCTTGGTTTGGTCTGCGCCGACTACGCCGACGGGGAAAATTAATACGGGCAGAAAAATTCGATGCAAAAAAAAGGGAAGGGTCCAACGGTGGTCAGTCAGTCAGTGGCAACCAGACTTGAATCCATATTCAACAACTGACAAGGTATTGTACAACCATCACTATGTGATTCTTTATCATTCTCCTTAACATCTAATTTTTGTGTTCTTTTGGGATTTCTGCAGTATTCTTAGTTGAATTTATTCATTTCGGTAATTTCTAGCGCGCCGTTTATTTACTATCTGCGCACCACCCAATTCAAGTGAATTGTTCAAACCATCAAGCTATTTTCGAGGCTTTGGCTTGGTTGATAACTGGAAAAAGTAATATCTACGGATGGGGTGCGGCTCTGGTGATGCGGTTTCAGTTGCCCGCCAAGGCTAGATCTGCAGTTGTCTGGGTGTTCAGTTGGAGTTGCTGTTCCCGCCGAGCTCCAATTGCCAGAACACTCCCGAGGCTCATGGATGAACCTCCCGAGATGGACCAGATCAGCACCGTTACGCTGTTTGGCATCAACGTAGATGTGGAGGTTTGTTCCGTGACCATTAATGAGTCTCTTTTGTAGTGAGCCCTCTTGATGCCATTTGCAGCTGAGACATTTCATGCAGCTGGTGTACTTCTGGATGTAACATCCAGTGACAGCATGCGTATTGCATCGTAGATCAGGCGTCGAATTCCCTCAGCAAGGGCGTCTCAGCCCTTTGGACTGTTCCATCGCATGATTGAGTGACGCACTCATTTCCTCATGACCTTCGGTTTGCGTTTCTTGAAGACAACTCCAGCAGCTGGCTCTTCAGCCTCGGTTTTCGGTACAGTTTCCAACGATGTATCACCCCCTGCCTGCTCCTCCTTGACAGTAGGTGCTTCACTCGACTCTGCAGGCTGCACTTCTCCCTCCGACTTGACCGGCACGAAGTGGCCTTTGGTTGATTCCTTCTCCGCGGGCTCTGCATCCTGCTGGGTCCTCGGATTCGCATCCACGTCCGCTTCCGCCTTGACCTCCGATGGCTTCACCCTCTTAATCTCCCTCGTCGACGCCAGTAGCGCATCCAGATCCGTGTCCTCCTCCTTGGCCCCAGGATACCTCCTAACCGACGACCCCCAACCCTTCGAGACAAATCTCTCCGCCTCCCTCTTCGCCTCCACCTCCTCCTCATCAACATCAGCATCACCACCACCACCAGAACCACCCTCCAACTTGCGCTTGCGCACTCCCACCGACCTCCCCGCCTTCGGACCGCCCTCCTCCCCACCATCAATCACCTTCTCCGAAACAGTCTGCCACGTCCCCGCTAAGGCCATCTCCCCGCGGAACTCGTCCGGAATCGCCACCCCCATTTCCGCCAACTGCGCCATCTGCCGTTTCCGCTCCTCCATCGACACTGGCCTCTCTTGGGGTTTGGGGGTCTCGCGTTGCCGCCACGGTACCCCTGCGGCATCGCCACTTTTGCTGGGGTCATTGAGTCCCGCGACCGTCTGCCGCAGCCGCTCAACCTCGCTCTTGGCGCGCTGGGACTCGCGCTGCTGCTGCTCATTGTTACGGTGGATGTCGCGGAGGAAGCGTTTGAGGTTCCCTTGGTGTTTGCCCGTGGCTTCATGTTGGGCTTTTTCGAAGGGGGTGTCGCGGATGAAGATCTTGCATTGCTTGCACCAGTATTTTGGCTTCGCGGAGATTAGTTAGTCGGTGGCTTGGTTTGAGTTTTGGGAGGGAAATGGAGGGCGCAAAGAGGAAGAAGGGAAGGGGGGGGGAGGGAAAGAAGCATACTGCTGATTTCCAGTATTCTGCCATGCTGTTGTGTGGCAGCCCAGTTCTCACCAGAGAAGGCTAAGATTGAGCGTGAGAAGGAAAAATGGTCAGAGTTGACGGAGATTGAGGCGGTTCGGACAGGCGTTGGGTGGGTTTGTTGCGAACTGCGACGGGTCGGAGCGTCACTCTGTCGGTCGCTCAGGCTCGCCCCACAGGTGCGGGTGGCGCTAGCCCTTAACGGGCAAGAGCGGCCTCGAACCGGCATAGATCTAGGTACCTACTGTAAATATAAGCACCACCTGGCAGGTACAGTACAATATAATATTGGAACCATTCCCGCCCGGTCTCGACCTGTATAATTTCTCGCTATTCTTTCTGCGTCTCGAGAACCCAACGTGACAGACTCGCTACAATGCGCCTGCCCCGCCCCTGGACAGTCCTGAGGAAGCCCATCCTCATTCCCCGTCTGCATGGCCCACTAATCCAACGACACCTCTTCCACCCCTGGTTTACCATCACCCAGGAGGACATCGACTGCGTCACCATACCCAAAGGCCCTCCTCTCACAGATGTCCCCCTGAACTTTCCTCCCGACCTTCTGCGTCGGAATCAAGAGAACTACTTGACCTATATTTCCAGGCTTCTGCAGCGTTACGATGGCAGGACATGGGGGTTCCCAATTTTCAGAGCTTTCTCCACCTCCCCCAGCACCGCCGAGGACAAGGAGAATCTGTGGTCCGCCTACCTCCTCAGCTTGTACCGCGGAGTCTACAAAAGTTTCCGGAGATTTGAGAATGTCCGCACTAAGCAAGCTCAGCTTAGTCCAGTTCAGACCAATGCACTGTTCCCCCGGTTCTACTGCCCAGTCATCCAGCCAGACGTGCCCATCCTGGACAAGAACGGGGATGGCGGACCGGGAATTGGCCCTGCGACCCGCGATGCTATCCGCACCCGCTTTGCAGATTGGGTCTCCAACACCACCGAAGAACGGGACGGACCCGGCGCGGTGGCAATGCGAGATGCGGACACTCCGCAGTACCGGATGTGCCTGATTGTCGATGATTACTGTCTGGAGCAATTCAAGGCGGCGCAGACTGACGGAGAGCATTACGGTGCTCCAATCATCGTGCTGGAGCGGGACTGGACGCTAGACAAGTATCGGGGATTCTACCGGGGGGAGTGGACGGATGGAGAGACCCACAAACAGCCGCCAGATGAACCAAGTGAGGAGGAGTGGGAGCCCGAAGATGAGAGTCTGCTGACGTTCTTTGAGGAGGTGGAAGGATCGAGGGCGCCGCTTCTGGGCTGGATGTATGCGCGGTCGAAGCGTCTTGGTTCTCTGTACGCGAGGATTGAGATGGAGCCGTACCACTCGGCGTTCTATCATGCGTATGCACGACCCCCAGGCATTTATCCTGATGATTCTGATGCTTATTGGAAGTACTAGTGGTAATTCCGTAAGCTTCGGGCTGGGTCTATACCACAATCGTCAGCACTCCTTCATGATGGTGGGCAGGCTGAACATGCTGGAGATATAGATCGCGGCATTCTTCATTTTCGTGTAGATCTCTCGGCGCACTGTGATAAGCCTCGGCAGCATCTGTGCAGGATGAGGGATACCTGAATATACTAGGCGGACAGATTGTAGGAGCCTGATTTCTCGGTATGAGGTAAGAACTGCTCGCTATATTGGGTTACTGAACGTTCGAAGGTAAGGACCTCTTCAGCTCGGTCACAATAGCCAAAGGTGTCTATTGCTCCCCATCTCCAAAGTTAAGTATACCCAAGATTCCACCTGGCAGTTTGACAGAACACAACAAGTTATTGCCCAACACAATCATATATCCAATACACTATAATACACTCATCTCAAAACAGAAACATCTTGCAGACGACACAACTCCCACTGCACCCCAACCCAAAAACCAAACACCTGAATGCTGAACTCCGAAAATGCACCAAACGCTCTAAGCAACCATTATGTATCATTGCTTCTCCAGATCGCGGGGCGGCTCCGGGTTGTATCGCAGGCCATTGTCGCGTGCCATCCAGTTGATGTCGCGGAGGCGCAACTCCCGCATGTAGGAGCGCTGTTCGTGGGAGAATTCTCGTTCCTGCTCGTCGTTGCGGAACCCGCCCGTGGCGACGGAGTGGATGGAGTATCCGATGAGGACGGAGACCACGCAGCCCAGGATGACGAAGACGATGATGGCGGATTTGTCGATCATTGTGAATGGTTGTGTGTGTGACTGGGGGGTGGTGGTGGTTAGTATTGGTGATCATTGTATACAAGTGAGGGAAGTGATCCCGGAGGCTGAAGGACGTGTACTCACTTTGTGAAGGAATGAAGGAAGTGTAGTGTATATCCAGAAGTGAAGTATAGGTATATAGGCTCAGTGATGCAACACACAAGTAGCGATCGACAAGCAATAAAAAGAGCGTATAGTAAAGACGAATCAAACGAATGACTGGATGATGCGCAAAGAGAATGAATGCTTTGGTCTGGGATACTTTCTCCCAGGATCCGCGAGGGTCGCATGCTTATATACCCCCAATTCCTTCTTCTGCGCCCCCCCTTCCCCAGCTGAAATCTCTGTTTATGTTGCCCTCCACTCATCCAGCTCGAAATGTCTATTTCGGGGTCTCGGTGCAGGAGTATATCGCAGCGCCAAGCATCCCCATCGCATCCCCCGCTAGTCCGCAAAGCGTATGGTTCAGGTGTCAGTGACGTCATTAGCGAGCCGGCCAATGGGAGCCTCCAGATAGCAGTCCTAGCGCTGATACACCATGCCTGTTCCGGTAGGAAGAGTTTTGCGCCTCCAACCCATCATACATGAACTCCTGAACTACTGCGGCCAATTTGACTTTGCGATGCTTGGCTCTCATTCCCCCCCGTCGTCGTGTCGTCTCATCAGCCTCGCCGGTAGATTGGACTGTGTTTAGGTCCTGTGCGTGGGGTCCGAGGAAATGAAATTCTTGGTGAGGCCAATTGTTGCGTGCGGGCCCTGAAACTTGAACTCGGGGTGGGGTCTCCCATTGGGCTGCTCCATTGGCATCGGCTGTTCCGTGGGCTGCTCAGGTACACTATCGTACACTATCTGAAGGGTCATCAAACATGTCCAATGAGTTGCCGGGGGCCCCTGGTTTGCCTGACTCAAGGCTGTGCGTGGACCGTGGTACTTTGAGACGCGATTGAGAAGAACTCCATTGTTTTTCCTCTGTGAGAGTATAAGTCAACCGGAGAAGGGTCTTCGCTAGTTTCTCGCATTCTCTTGTTGATGTATGGCAATCAGACAGGCCCTATTGGCTTCACTCCTTGTCAGGGCTCAGAGAAGGTTCCGGGACTTGGTCGCATACTCTGAGGCAGATTGGCCGATGTTGTTGGACTGCCATAGGAAAGTCCAAGCGGTTCATGTATTTTCTTGTAGCGGACATGCAATTTGATAGTACTGTCATGGCTAATCCTTCTAGACGCCCGGGCACATGGTTCGGGTGGGAGAACGTTGGCCCCGTTGATCTGCCCATCCCGGCTGATCAATGCTGATGCCGGATGTTTTTCCATTGGCTCACAATTGCTGACAACAGTGCCAGTGTCTTGTACCTGCATGAAAGCAGATTCACTCCTCTCCAGGTAGATACATAAGGTACCGCACCTACTAGTAGTTGCCCACGATTGGCTCTTTGCAGGGAATGTTCTAACCTATCGGCATGCTCGCATAGCGTTCACTTTAAGGCTGGTGTACTATTAACGCTCTACACATGCTACACTCGAATGGGTCGATCTTGATTCTATATGCATGCCATGCAGTCCCGTGACTTGCATTCTGACCTTTTCTTCACATAGATCACTGTGCGTGAGAGTGGTGACAAGAAAACTGTTTGCTGGGGAACTTTGCAGAAGGAGACCTTACTTAAAAGCACAAGCCTGTGCCTTCCATTATCTCTGATAGCTCATATTTCTGCTTGACATGTTTCAATGTTTGCACATCTTCACCTCCCTAAGTATCCTCCAGCCATAGTCACAAACCGATCATCAACTCTCGAAAACCCCTGCTACAACCCCAAGCTCATAGTTGTATTCCTCTCACCCATACGGACCAAGTCAGACGAACCTACAAGAGCCTCGCCCACTCCCTCTCCTCCACCGAAACCTGCACCAACAACCCAAACCGATCCAACCGACACCCGACCCTGAGCACATCCTTCGCTGCCAGCACCGGCGCAGGCCGCGGGATCTGGTTCTTCGCGTAGACCGCATCCGCCGTCAGCAGCGCCAGCTGACTCGGCCGCCTGGAGTCATCCAGCCGGCTGATCATCGCCGTCACCAGCAAATTCGCGACAGTCTTCCACTCGAACCCCCGCTTGGCGAACCAAACCAGGGACATGCAGAAGGTAATGGAATGGGTGTAGCGCCTCACACGATCCGCGACCGGCTGGCCCCATGCCGCGACCACCTCCGCCCAGCTGGGACTCTGCAGCTCGCCGGTTGTCTTCTGCTTCGCTGCCGCCGCCGCATCCAGCGCATGCAGCTCGACGCTGCGTCCGAAATACTTGAGTTCCGTTCTCAGGTCCGCCAGGATCGCGTACTGCGCTGCGACGCCCTTGGCGTTGGCTTTGCAGATCGCGTACTGTGCGTCGCGCGAGGGCGTCTGCGTGAGCCGGTTGCGGAGGCTGCGGAGGTAGACGTGCAGGATCTCGGTCTCGGCGAGGATCTGCTGCTGCAGGCGGTTGTGGGCGGCTTTATCGCTGGTGGAGAGGGTTTCGAGGGACAATGACCGCGGTGGTGTTGGGGTTTGGGGAGGTGTTATGGTGGCGTCGAATTGGGTGTCCGGCGATGATGGTGGTGCGCTGGTCTTGAGGGTGTTGGTTTTCTTTGTCTTGCGCTGTTTTTTGGATTCCTTCTCTTTGGTGGGGGTGCGTTTGCGCTTTTGGCTGGTGTTGGCTTTGGGTGTCATTTTTGAGATGGGTTTTGTTTGTTTTGGAGGATGAGAGGTTGGGTTGACTGGGTTGTAATGGTTTGAAGCTGAATCCAGGAGGTTCAAGAAGGACGAATCGTTGGATGTGATGAGATATGGAGAGAAGAGAAATGAGATCAGACCAGATATTTGAAGAAAATTGAAAGGAGAGAAGTATTGTATAAAGTAATGTACGGCTCACAAAGTGAGAGCAAAGTGAGGTTTTATGTTATGCTTCATTTTTCATTTTGCATGTCCCCGCTCGTGTGACTAGACTTTTGTGCAAGGCATAGCTCTCCCCATTATTTCACACTGAAATCACCCCTCAACAAGAACTCGAGTCCAGTCAAACTTCCTCCAACGCTTCTGGAACCCCGGCACTCGGGGATCGCCGCCTCGTTGCCAGCGGCCCTGCCGCTTGATCACCTCCGGACCCAGATCCAACATCCCTCCGATGACCTCCCGAGCAAAGAGGTCCCCACGCGGCCAGCGATTCTCATCTTCCACCACATGGCCCAGGCCGCCGTCCAGACTGAACCACACGTGGAAGTACGGCATCTCCTTGGCAATGCTGCGGCGGAAAGCACTCCGCCCCATGCCTTTCTTAGAATTGGCAAGGGTATCGATTAGCTTACGGTGCTGAGACCACTCCGCGTCAGATGACAAGATGGCCTCCTTGAAGAAGGCTGGGGACGTCTCGCCGAGGCTATAAGGGAGGGGGACCACCTCCATCGCTGCGTGTCGCTTGCGATGGGGCTGGGCTGCGTTCTCGTAGAAGATCACGTCCCGGCCTTGGTCGTGGTACATGCGTGTCAGACTCTTCATGAAATTGCGAATCTCCTCCCACTCGTCGTCGTCGCACTCCAAGAGATTCGTCCGGTGCTGGATGGGAACAATGGTGGCACATTGGTCGCTGAGCTCGGGTTCAGTGGGGAGTGTGAGGTAAACTCTTGTTGCTAATGAGACGACAGGCGCGATAGGAGGCGTATTCGTGTCTTCGTGATGACAAAGGGGACAATTGTCGAGAATCTTATTCATCTTTTGCAGCTCATTTATCGTGGTATTCTTGATGTCAATTTCGGAGCGGTGCACCCGACGGGCAAGCTTGGACGCATTGTCGTCCATGTATTCGAGATCATTCTGGCTGAAATGTTAGCAGGTAATATTGATATGCTAGTAGAAGCCCTCACCTCGAATTTGGCGTCCTTGGCAATTCTCTCCGCGATACGACGGCCATCTCCCCCATATTGTCCGCGCGTCCGTCGTTCTTCTTGGACCATGTCTTCAATGGTCATATCATCGTTGTCTTCCACCTTGCCTCGCTCGCGACCTCGTCTGTTTTCAACTGCCTTCACTTCGTTCCTCTTTCCAGCCAGCATCCGGTTCTCCATCACGCCCAAGACCACGACGTCTGACTCCTTGCGGTTGGCCATGGCAGCAGCGGCGGCATTGTACTGCTCCTCGAGCTCGGCGGCATCTGACGCACCCTTGAGCTTGGCCTTCATCATTTGAGCCTTGAGTCGGTTGAGTGCTGTCAAATCAAGATGCTGGGTGGTGTTCTGAGGCGGGACGGTCTCCATTAGTTTGCCTTGTCCTTCAGCATTGAGCTCCTTGGTAGGACTGCGAAGGTGCTCATGCGCGCCACGGTGAACGTTCTCCTGTTGCTTCCGCTCCTGAAAGAGCTCGCCCGAGGGCTTCTCCTTGCCCACATATCCTTCACCGTATCTTTCGCGGCGATCTAGCTCTGCCTCCTCCTCGCGCGCGTCATCGAATGAGCGGAGATCTCCAAATCGGTTAACCGCAATCTCTTCCACTGACAACCCGGTGTCCTCTGCCTCCCTATACACAGCTTTCAACTTGGTCATTCTCCATTGCGAGCCCGCGTCGCCAAATGTGTAGTCAACCTCATGCTGAGCGGGTTTCTCCTCGATTTCTTCCAGCACCTTTCCGTCCTTCAGATCGCGTAGATGGGTGTTGATCTCCCGACCGTGGATTTTCAGCTCGTAGTCTGCCGAAAGCATCTTGGGTTTCGGTTCCTCTTCCAAACGCGTGGTCGAGCGCCGCTGGACATAGTCGATATCGAGACTGGAGGGTCCCTCCATCCAAGCATCTCGCTTTAGCTTGGGAGCCTCATCCTGAGCCACTTCGGCTGCTTCGGCTGCCGGTTTGCTCTCCTCGTCCCTGCTATCCCTGTGTCGGCGCTTATGATCATGGTCGCGCTCGTCCCCGTGGTCGGTTGAATGGCGCGAGCGTTTGTGTCGGTGACTAGTATCGTCGCTACGACGCGATTCGCGATGCCTGTCGTGGTCGCGCTCTCTCGATCGGGATGAACGGCGGTGGTGACGGTGGTGCCTCGAGCGCTCGCGGCTGCGGTCCCTGTCTCGGTCACGGTGGTGGCGGTGTCTGTCTTTATCGCTTCTCTCACGTCTCTTCTCCTGTTCCTCTGCTAGCGATTTTTCGAAATCCTCTAGCGCCATGGTGTTGGGATGAAAGCGAGGCCGAGCTCGTCTTGTTGGGAGGGGAGAAAGCGAAGCAAGGGAAAAAGGCGGCGGCGGCGGAGAAACGCCATGACGTCTGGAACGCTTCCGGCCAAACGGACTCCACCTGCAATTCCCCGCGACAAAAGAATTTCTACGCCTCGCCGTCCCAACGGATACTCTGCCTCCCATCATTACCCTTGTTAACCAAAACTATTGACACCCACTGACTGGATTGCTCTAATCTCCCTTCCTGTCTTTGCTCTTTACTCAGTGATCTTTTACCTCGTCGTCACGATGGCACAGTCTCCGGTCGCCGTTGTCTGCGTGGGCATGGCAGGTAAGTGTCATGGCGATCATCCCCCTCACTGACGATGCATCTAATCAATCCGATGTATGTTTCGCTCAGGCTCTGGAAAGACGACTTTCATGCAGCGAATCAACTCCTACCTCCACTCGAAGAAGACCATCCCCTATGTCCTCAACCTTGACCCCGCCGTTCACACGGTTCCTTTCGAGAGCAACATCGACATCCGTGACTCCATCAACTATCGAGAGGTTATGAAGCAGTATAACCTCGGACCCAACGGCGGTATCCTTACATCTCTGAATCTATTTGCTACCAAAGTCGATCAAATCATCTCGTTGCTGGAGAAGCGCACGGCTCCCAATCCCAGCAACCCGACCGCGAAGCCCATCGAGCACATCCTGGTCGACACGCCTGGTCAGATCGAGGTGTTCGTGTGGAGTGCCTCCGGCAGCATCCTCCTCGAGACTTTGGCCTCGTCGTTCCCTACTGTGATCGCTTACGTTATTGATACCCCCCGCGCTAGCTCCACGAGTACCTTTATGAGTAACATGCTCTACGCCTGCAGTATCCTATACAAGACGAAGTTGCCCATGATCCTTGTCTTCAACAAGACTGATGTCCAAGATGCCGAATTCGCCAAGGAGTGGATGACCGATTTCGATGCTTTCCAAAAGGCCCTGCGGGAGGAAGAAGAGTCGGGCGCGTTTGGTACTGAGGGCGCCGCGGGTGGCTTCGGTTCAGGAAGTGGCTACATGGGCTCACTGCTCAACAGCATGAGCTTAATGTTGGAGGAGTTCTACCGACACCTGAACCTGGTTGGAGTCAGTTCCATGACGGGTGAAGGTATCGACGAATTCTTCGAGGCCGTGGAAGAAAAGCGCCAGGAGTTCGAACGCGATTACAAGCCCGAGTTGGAGCGCAAGAGGAAGGAGCGTGAGGAGACGAAGGCGGCGCAACGCGAGCTCGAGCTGGGCAAGCTCATGAAGGATATGAACGTCTCCGGCTCGAGCAAGGGCAAGCAGAAGGTCGAAAACGAGGCCGAGACGGTTAGCGAGGCTGAAGAGGAAGAGGAGGCACGCAGGAATGGCGACCAGGATGACGATGAGGACAGTGAAGACGATTACAGGATCCCTCGTGCGGGGGACAGTGAAGGGCTTACGCAGCGCTACAAGGACGCGCTGGCGGAACAGGGCACCGCGCCCTCCGACCAGGATCTAAGCTTCGCCAGATACCTGCGCGCGAGCAACATCAACCAGTGATACCTGACCATGGGTCGACCTTGCACGTTTTTCCTTTCTCTGGGGGTTTGAAAAGGCGTTGATGGTGGAGATTTGAATCTAGCCATGGCAATTAACATAGACAATGATGATTCGGGTGTGGTAATTGCAATTTGATCCAGTTCCAAACATAGACCCATCTAGTCCACGTTGGGAAGACTGGATCGTTTTTCATGGCTTGACCGTGAACAATAACAGATCAGAATTATAGCCGTGGTGGAGATGCTTGGGGTTCATGGTCTGATGGCAGTGGGTGTAGTAGTGCCAGCTCAGTTCAACCTGCAGCAACCCGCCTCTGCCCTATGGACTGCCAGCTTGGAACTTGCAAGTTCGTCTTCTGTCCCCCTTTTGCTTTTTCTCATTTTTTCGCCTGAATTTCGTTGTAGTGACAACAGAAGAATACGTAGAAAAAAAGAGCCAGGCTGAATCCGCGGAAAAACCGGCGGTGACATCATCGGGGCTGAACAAGCGATGACCTCATGGGGAATGATCCCTGCCTTACAACAACTTATAACTACCACTAATTGCTGCCTATACTGGTTCCGTTTACCTTCAACAACCTGATCACCAGAGAATTTAAACACGCCCCCGAACCGAAACACAATTGAATACCGCCAGAAGACATCAGCTACCTCCGCATCATGGATGTACGACTGTCCTTCTCCCGGTCTCTAACCATACAACAGAGCTAACCAGTTCGCGCGCTGCAGGTTTTCTACGCCTACACCTACTCCACAGCCGGCTGGCTTGGACTCCAGAGCTTGGCTCTGATCGCTGTGCCGGAGATGATGACCACAATGTTGTTGACCGAAACCCGCGACCCTTCCTGTGAGTAACCGGCAGACAGATTGTCTCTCCAGCTGCCAATGGCTAACACGCAACAGCGCTCGAAACGTACTTCTCCCGCTGCTTGGGATTCAGTCTACTCCTCATCGCCGTTCTCACCGTCATGCTCACCGGGTCCGTGCCCTTGACCACCTCCATTGCGCAACCCGTCACCACGGACGATTCCGACCCCAAGGCCCCCTATGCCGTGCCGACCATGATGGTCACGACTGTCTTCCACGGCGCGTCAGCGGGATACGCATACATCTGGTGGGTGGCTACGGGCCAGATTGCCTACGGGGTCGGGATGATCGGATATGCCGCCATTGCCTTCGTCGGGGTGTGGTGCGCGCTGTTTGCGAGCAGCGGGGGCAAGATCAACCGCAAGACTGGCGTCGATAAGCGGAGCAGCGGCTTCCCGTTCGCCAACCAGGAGGCCGACAAGAGGTTTGCGGGGAAGAAGTCCCTGTGAATGGGAATTTTCTTCTCAAAATGTTCTAGGCGGGGTCATTGGACATAGGGTGGATAGTTGCATGCATGCAAATGGCTGCAGATGAGGGAAGCCTGCGCATGTCAAGAGAAAGAGGGAGATAGTTCGCTGTTGAATTTGACATACTCACTCTCCTTATCTCCTGTTTACTTCTCCATTACACTAAATGATTTCACTGGATCTCACGTAGTATTCGCGCGCTGAAGAGCATGCTGTACGGTCCAATGGGTTGCCCTGTGCCTGACATAAACCTGACCAGCCGGGATCACGGGACTCGGTGCAACCAAACACAACAATAACAACTCCGGTCAGACCGTGCCTGCCACACTCTCCCATTACACCAATCCTCCTCTTCCACCTCCCATTGTTGCACCCGATGAAATTATCCGACTGGCTCAAGGGGCCTTCTTTCCGGTCACGACAGTCTCGATGGCTGCCTTGATGCAACCGTACCTATTCGAACTGCGCCCAAGGCCCGTTCAGAAAACCTCCGTCACCAGACGTGTGCGAGGGCCTTGGCTGCGTCGAGACCCTGTAGAGAAGCAGACAGGAGAGGGCCATCAGTCTGTCACCCCGCAGAGTCGTGAACGATGTCCACTGCGAGTGATCTCAGAACCATACCACAAGTATTGCCGCCTACAATTGGTAGAACCTGTTCCTGACGGCCACCTTTGATCAATGGGGTTTTGACTCTGACTCTGGTACAAGTGTCAGTTGTGCTAAACCAGACGTCCAGATACCTCGCCAACTGAACTACCGTCAGCTGTCTTGGCCGTCGTGAACCCCATCGCCACGGCTCGATGAGGAATAACCACCAACGAACCACTTGCCCGCTGCCCTCTTCTTCAATCAGATTCGCATCAAGGCCATGATTAGATTTCGACACATCAGAAGACTTCCCCAGGCACATGCGTATCCTCAGGGGCAGGTTGGTCGTACCAAGCTTTCGTAACTGACTTGGTGGGAGGGGCCTCGCGTTATCACAAGCACGTCGGACCGGCAAGCTGGCTCCTCGCCCTACAAGAGGGGTAGATCGTCTGGAAAGTCCAGTCTGCTGTGGATGATCAACGCGCCTGAGCTCACTGTACGACCCTCGAACTTAGAAGGGCAGTGTAGGAATAATCCTAGGCCGTGGTCTCTACCCTTTCTTGTTTACTGATAATCTCTCTATCGCCCAATCGGTATCCAGACTTGCTTGACAGATGATAAGCGCATGCAGTGGTTTTTACCTCGTGAGAAATCAGCTTCCCAGGGCGGGTCGCACCGATTTTCGGACAAGTGGTTAAGCATTCCCCCGTTTTCCAGAGCTCCTTGCGCAACATCCTGGCAACGAGAGCTTCTTCTGCTTGTCTCTCTCATTATAGAATTAAGAGTTCGTCTGGAAACGAATAAGGGATGCTGTTCTGAATACGACATGCCAGGGCCATCGCCGGCCAGCAGTGGAACCGTCAAAGCCACAAGGCTTGCATGAATGAGAGTGTGCCATTTAGTCCGGTGGACGATGTCCAGATTGGTTTGACTCGAGGCCTTTCTGGGGTCGGAGAAATAAGCTCTGCGCCGCTTGTCACCGCGATCCCTGGTCCTTTGCGTCGGCCCAAAATCACGCATGGTGTGCATGGCGTCTTGCCTAATAGGACACAACTAAGTCGTCTGAGAATGCAATGTTACCCCCAGAGTTTTAAACATGCTCAGAGATCTTGGGCCCTGGTCTCGCTCTATTGCAAGGCAGGCGGCCATGTAAGTGATAGGCTAACAATTTTAGACGAAGCTTGCAATGCTGAAGGTATATAAGGCGAGCTCCCTAGCACGTTTGTACATTGCTCGAACTTTCTAAGGGGTGTATTTTCTCTTCTACTTTGCATGATCCACAATGGTCTCATTGAGAAGTTTCCTGCTGGTCTTCGGATCCCTTTTATCTGCCGTGCTTGCTGCGCCGACGCTCGAAAGTCGCCAGACTCTGCAGACGATTCCGGGGAAGTATATTGTCACCTTCAAACCGGGAACCGACGATGCCAAGATCGACGAGCATACCGCTTGGGCGACCAACCTTCACAGGCGGCACCTTGAAGGCCGTAGTTTTATTGACGGAGACCTTCCAGCTGGCATCGAGAGATATTACAAAATCAACAGGTTTGCTGCATACGCTGGTTCCTTCGACGATGCCACCATTGCGGCCATTCGCCAACATGCAGATGTTTGTTCTTGTTGACCTGCCGAGCGCAACTGGCGGTAATCTAATTGATTCATAGATTGCGAACGTCGAGGAAGACCAGGTCTGGGATCTCGACGGACTGGTCACCGAGCACAATGCGCCGTGGGGCCTAGGATGCATCTCGCATCGAGGACAGACTAGCACTGACTACGTCTATGACGATAGTGCCGGGATTGGCACCTATGCTTATATCGTAGATACAGGCATTTTGAGCTCTCATGACGAATTCGGTGGTCGCGTCCTCTTGGCATACAATGCTGCTGGAGGACAGCATGTCGATGGTGTTGGACACGGGACCCATGTTGCCGGAATCATTGGTGGACGAACGTACGGCGTGGCGAAGAGAGCGACTCTGGTTTCGGTGAAGGTCTTTGTTGGGGAATCCAGCTCTACCTCGGTCATCCTTGATGGCTTCAACTGGGCTGTCAATGATATCGTGAGCAAGAATCGCACGAGCAAATCTGTGATCAATATGAGCTTGGGTATATTCTGTGTGTTGTTTGAGTGACTCTATCGCTGACTACGGGTATAGGTGGAAGCTATTCCAGCACGTTCAACGATGCGGTGGAGAATGCTTTCGATGAGGGAGTGCTCTCTGTTGTCGCTGCAGGCAACGAAAATGTATGTCACTCACAGCCTCACGTTCGGAGTAATCACTGAAGGAAAACAGAGAGATGCCTCGCGAACGAGCCCCGCGTCTGCCCCGGATGCTGTTACCGTCGCCGCCATCAACCGACGTAATTCCCGCTCCAATTTCTCTAATTACGGCGCCTTTGTCGACATTTTTGCTCCCGGCGAGGATATTCTGTCATCTTGGATAGGATCAGACACGACGACTCGGAGCATCTCGGGGACCTCAATGGCCACGCCCCACGTTGCTGGTCTGACGATGTACCTCATGGCGCTTGAGAACCTGTCTACGCCAGCTGCGGTGACGGCCCGCTTGAAGGCATTGGCCACACGGAACGTAGTCACTAATACCGCTGGAAGCCCGAATCTCTTGGCATATAACGGAAACGGAAGAGCAGACAACCACCAGGGAGATGGGGATGGCGATGGAGATAACGACGGAGATTTGGAATGAGAAAGAGCTTGGGAACATGTAGCCAGGTATGGCCCAGACTAATAGATTCCTAGGGTGGATGGCGATAAGGAGCTAGTCTAAGAGAATAAATGACCTGAGACATGAGACTGCAGGGACACCTCCAGAGCCACGGATGCAACGAATAGAACCAAGCACATGCAAAGCCTCTCCCGTCACGCTTCCGAAGTAGTACCATGCTGAAGGCCGTATACGTCGATCCGCACCGGAGTACAGGCGTATCCCGCAGCGATTTGTCGGGTAAAAGCCGATCGATGATAGGCCGACGACTTCTGACTGTTTATTCGTGGCACTGGGTCGTGCATTTCAGGAGAATAGACTCCTCATCGTCCCGAGGATGGCACAGGTCAAGATGAGGGATAATCGAGAGGGCAGCAGTGGACTCCACCCAGGCGTTAGCCTCGCCACAGAAAGACCCGACTGAGGACTTATGAGATCAGATGGCCCAGAGCTTTCCGTGGTGAATTACGTCCGGTTAAGTCCGTGCTTGCGTTCCACAGGGCTCGATGCCAGCTTGAATAAATACAGACGGCCGTGGACCCCTTTGCTTGCCGAGACATGATGTCCGGTCAACGTTGAGCTGAGCAAGACTTCGTTTTGTCCCAAGCCATGAAGCCCACCAGCCAAATCACCACGTCCTCGATCGAGTCCGAGAAAGATGTTCTGCAGTCCCTGCTCCCGCAGTATGGCCTTCGTATGGCTGCAGACGGCGTGCACATCCGGTGGGCGGTTGGCAACGGTCGACATCCACGGAATTGGAGGCTGCGGAGGAAGATCTGGGATATCGCGCTGATTCTATTCCTGGAGTTCTTTACGTGAGTCTTATCGGTGGGGTGGTGGTGCAGTACTGTTTGCTGTGGCTGACCATGAGGGTATATTGTACTTTCAGGACGGCAGTGAGCACGGCGGGGGTAAGTCTGCAATTCGTGGAGTGATGTTTAGGGAGCTGACGTGTCCAGTCCACCGCCGCCAACAGTGCCGTGCGCGAGTTTGATGTCCCGCAGGAGCTGTCGATCTTCCTCTTTGTGTCGGTGTGAGTATCTGCCGTCCGTTTGCCCAGAGCCTGGGGTGTGCTGACTTCGTAGGTACCTGATCGGTCAGGCGTGCGGGGGGATCATCTTCCCGCCGTACTCGGAGGCGTTCGGTCGGAAGAAGCTGTATGTCGTCAGCTCCGCGCTGTACAGCCTGGCGTGTGTGGTGGTGGCCTCGGTGCCGTCGATGGCTGGGGTGATCATTGGGCGGTTCATGAGCGGGATTCTGTCGGCGATCCCCACGACGGTGGTGGGCGGCAGCATTGAGGATCTGTTCAACTCGCGGGAGCGCGTGTGGATGATCTGCATCTGGGTGCAAGCTGCCAATCTGGGGATGGTCGTCGGTCCGATTCTGAGTACTTTTGTCGTGGCGGATATGAACTGGTGTGTCCTTCCCTGTCCTCTTCATCAAGAAGAGAGGTTACTCTAGAGAAGGTGCCACTAACGAAACCACAGGCGATGGCTATTTTACGTGGCCGCGATGGTGACCGGGGTGCTGGCGTTCTTGCTGCTGACCATCCGCGAGTCGCGGCCGTCGCTGCTGCTGGCGCGGGAGGTGGCGCTCTTCCGGCAGGTCACGCAGATCCCCGGCACGCCGGAGGCGCTGAACCCAGACCAGGCGCCGGACCTGCACACCTTTGTGCGGTTGGCGCTGTTCCGGCCGATCCGGCTGCTGTGCACGGAGCTGATCGTGTTCATCGTGGCGGTGATGAGCGCCGTGACCATCGCGCTGGTGTACCTGTTCACGCAGGCGCTGCCCCCGATCTACATGTCGTTCGGGTTCAGCCCGCGCCACGCGTGCCTGCCCTTCATCGCCATCGGCCTGGGCCTGTTCCTGGGGTTCGTGACGCGGTGGTTCGATCTGCGCATCATCGCGCAGCACAGCCGCCAGGGCCGCCCGCTGCAGCCCGAGGACAAGCTGCTGGGGTTCTGGATCGGCACCCCCGTGCTCGCGGCCGCGCTGTGGGTGTTCGCCTGGACGATCCCGCCGGCCATGGCGCACGTGCCCTGGATGGTCTCGGTCGTGGCCCTGGTGCTGACGGGCTTCAGTCTGAATGAGATCGACTATGTGTTGGGCGGGTACCTGACGGACAGCTATCTGAGCTACGCGGCCAGCGGCCTGGCGGCGCTGAGCCTGGTGCGCGCCACGCTGTCGGCCGTGCTGCCGCTCGTCTCGGCGCCCATGCTGCAGCGGTTGGGCGCGAACGGGGCCGTTTCGGTGCTGGCCGCCCTCGCCACGGTCTTCTGTCTGGTGCCGCCGCTGTTCGCGCGGTATGGACGGGGGCTGCGGGCGCGGAGTGGGTTCGCGCGGTACAGTATGATCATGTATCGGGAGTACAGCGTGGATGAGGAGGGGTACTGATGGGTGTCTGTGATAGAGGATGCGATTCGCATGGGGGAGTCAAAAGTCTGCCTTTGGGGGTTTGAGTTTGAGTATAGTATCAAGATCTCGTGTTCACTAATGCCGAATAAAATTGTTTTTGTCTGTCATGAGACTACCCAACCTTCTTCTTCATGATCCATGTATATACGTGTAGTACTGGGCGTAGGGGGCTATCTATCTACTCCCTGACCACCAACCCCCAAAACGCCCCCGCAAACCCGACGACCACCGCCCCCCAAACCGCCCGCTCCGTCTGCAAAACCGCATACCCGAGATGTCCCGCCAGGATCCGCGCGGCCACGCCGGCCACAATCCCCATGTACACCACAAAGAACCCCAGCTCCTTCCACCGCTTCCACATCCCAGTCTGCACAGCAGGCGCGACAGCCCCAGCACCAGACATACCTCCCCCACCCCCACCCCCAGATCTCTCCCCCTTCTCCCCACAGGACGCCAGCTGATTCACATCCGGCACCACCCCCGCCTCCTTAGAACGCATACTGGTCCCCCACCCATCCTCGAGCACCGTCACCGCGCTCCAGAAATGCACAATCGGCAGGGGGATATTATAGAACAGCAGCGCAGGGAGCAACCCCACCCCCAGCACTGCCTTCCGGACTCCCCGATCGGGGTTCCGGAGGATATTGTACAGAACCGTGTACACGAGCCGAACAACCAGATCCGTCCACGAGAAATACGCCAGGCTTGCGCCCGTGCACAGGTAGTATAGGATGTAGCCTAGGCCCAGCAGGGGCCCGGCTTCGCGCTTGATGGCCGCCCAGAAGAATAATGGCGAGGTGAGGAGGTATAGGTGGGGTGATTGGAGGGATTCGATGTGGCCGGAGCGGGACCAGCGGACCTTTTTTGTTGTTAGTATTGTTTTGGGGGGAGGGGTTTGAGGGTGAGGGATTGGGGATTGGGGAGGGCGTAAGGTACCTGCTGGAGAATCCATTTGCGGAGGTTGGTGGGTGTATCCGTTGCTGTTAACGTGTCAGACACGTAAGTGACGGTCCAGCCGCGGAGGAGGAGGTTGGTGGTTAGGTGGCGGTCTTCGTTGACGATCTACCGTTGCTCTTGTTAGCATATTCATGCTATGGATTATGTGCATGTTATGGGCTGGTTTCTCAAAGAAGGGTTGGTTCGCCCCTGCCGGGGCTCACTAAGTACTGGCTGGGGCTGGCTAGCTGGACTCACCATCCGATGCCCCCAAACCTCCTGCGTGTACCACGGATACAGGATCCCAGGCAAGGCGGCGACCCGGAACGCCGAGCTCGGCCCGCTCTGGCAGTCGCTCGTGCCGGCCGCTGTGGCCACCGACCGCGTCAGGTACAGCTCGCACCAGTACACGATGCGGCCCAGCTGCGCCACGACCGAGTCGCCCGCGTTGTGCACCAGTAGGCCCGAACTGGCGCCGCCCACGGCGGGGTCGCCCGCGATCGTCGCCACCGTCCGCCGCAGCGAGTCTGCGTACACCAGCGTGTCCGAGTCCGACGACCACAGGTACTCGATCCCCCGCGCGTCCGCCAGCACCAGGCTGAAGATGAAGGCCGTGAACATGATCGCCTTCTTGCTGTGGTGCGGCTGGTAGATGCAGACCTGCTGCGGCCCGCTGCCGGAGAGGAGGCCGTGCTCTCCCAGGATCTCGCGCGCCAGGTCGCAGCAGTGCGCGATGCTGGCCAGTTGGTAGGCCTCCCGCGGGGAGCCGTGCAGGTCGGCGGTGGCGAGTTTGTCGAAGGTGCGCGTGGCGATGTCGCCGAGGGGCGTGTCGAGGTGGATGGTTGGGGCGGTGGGGTGGATCTGTGGTTTGTTGGTGAGTATAGCATATTGTGTTGAGGGGAGAAAGGAGGAATGCCGTACGTTCTGGAAAACCCGCACCATCTCCATATCCGCCTCCTCGTCGCCGTCGATCCCCACCAGCATGAAGCGACACCCCTCCGCCGCGCGGTAGCTGTTCAGCGCGCGCGCAAACAGCCCCGGGTCCTCGCGGTAGCCCACCACGGCGGCCATGCAGTCCGGTCCGCTGTGCGCGTCCACCATCCGCGGCTTCTCGGGGTCAGCGGCAGCGGCAGTGGGCTGGTAGAGGCGGCGCCGACGCCGCTCGTTGGTGAAGCGGTTGTATTCGGCGGCGAGGATGGTGAGCAGCAGGTCTAAGGTGAGGGGATGGCGGGTGGCGGCGGTGAGGTAGTAGTACAGGGGCAGCACCAGCAGACAGCCCAGCCCGTTAAGCATCTGACGCAGCAGGGGCACTTGGGGGCCCCGTTGGGGGGTTATCGGTGGGTGGTCCATGGTCGAAGTGTGTCTGTCTGCTCACGACTACATTCCTCGGGGTGCTGCATCGGATGCATTGGTGTACTTATTTGATCCCCTAATGGAATGGGGACCGCAGATGGAGCCATGATGGAGTCACCGGTAGAAAAAATCTCAATGATGGATTCACTAGTTGAGTTGACTAGTCACTAGACTGGAGTCAGTGCTAGTCGGTCAGTAGTACGGAGTATTACCGTTGGATTTGTCCATGCAATTCCCGACATTGAGAGGCCAAGTGCGGTGATTCGGTGGATCGTATCTAATCATAGGCTGGCAGGACCCTTCGTGTGGCTCGTATCGACACGGGTTTGACTACAGACACGGAGATTATTTTTATTACTCCCTGAGGAAGTGCAATAGCCGCACTCTAAACTATTTTGGGCAAGACAATCGGAACTTACAGCCTTGTCCGTGCTTACCGCAAAGGGTTTAGCGCAGGCATCTGTCCATGTCTCGCCAGGCACCTGCCAATCACGCTGCTTTGCGCCTGAGACATTCATTTAACTAATTTTTGTGGTGGGGTTGAGGGGATGAGGGGATCTTCGGGGTCTTTGTATAGGGGTCAGATGGAGGACCCTCGAAACACCGGTGAGGGGCATTTATCATGGAGAGATTTACCACTTACCGAGTTTGTACAGTACAATCATTCTCTGCTAATCTCTATTCCAAGATATAAAACCCCGTCCATTATGCACCCGGATTCCACACAAGTCCGCTCATGATCGGAGGTAAGACATTTTCATCATGCGTCGGTTTTACCAAGACAATCGCCGCGTCCCGCTTGGGATCATCCTGGTGACCGTCTGTCTCTTCCTCTACCATTTTGCCCTCGATCGCCCCCCATGGGTCGCGTCGACAGCGTATACCCCGCAAACACCCTATCAAGCAGGAGCAGGAGAGGCTACTGTCGTCGTGCACCCTTCACCCCCCTTCATCGCCGAAGATGAAAACACCTCTACGCCGCAGAAACCCGCTCCGTCGGCGGTAGCCTCCTCCGCGTCCTCCACCTCCCCTGCCTCCGACACCGCCACCATCACCACCTCTTCCTCCTCCCTCATCGTCAACGACATCGTCCTCATGTTCAAAACCGGCGCCTCCGTCCTCTGGAAACGCGTCCCCATCCACCTCACCACCACCCTCGCCCCCACCCGCATCCCCCCGGCCAACGTCCTCCTCTACTCCGACAGCCCCGAGACCATCGGCGCGTGGACCTTCATCGACGTCCTCGCCAACACGACCATCAACGACCCCGAGATCGCCCTGCCCTACCGCCAACAGGCCGACCACGACTTCCGCCAGAACTACGCCGAGATCAACAACGTCTATCCGGGCGACAACTCCGGCCCCGCCGGCGGCTGGAAGCTCGACAAGTACAAGTTCCTGCCGCTGGTGCAGCACGCGGGGCGCGCCCGCCCGGACGCCAAATGGTACATCTTCATGGAGGACGACGCCTACCTCTTCCTGCCCAACCTCCTCGCGCACCTGGGGCGCTTCGACCACCGGCAGCCCTGGTATCTGGGCAGCGTCGCCTGGATCCATGGCGATTATTTCGCCCACGGCGGCTCTGGGTTCGCCATCTCGCGCAAGGCGTGGGAGATGGCGTTTGGGGACGAGAAGGTCAATATCGAGGAGAAGTATGCTGCATTCACGGCGCAGCATGGCTGCGGGGATCACATTCTCGGTCATGTCCTGAAAGAGAGTGGCGTCGGGTTCGGAGAGCATCCCGAGGCGGAGGAGAGTCGTTTTAGCTATGGGTTCAATCCCGAGGCGCATTGGACGAGCTGGTACGAGCAGGAGAATTGGTGCAAGCCCGTGTTCAGCTGGCACCACACGCACAACCGGGACGTGGCCCGGTTGTACGAGCTGGAGATGCGGTGGGGCGACGTGCAGGCCCGGGGCCCCATCCGCTACAGGGATGTGTATGAGGCGATGGTGCGGCCGTACTTGCGCGAGCGGGTGGAGTGGTGGGAGAACGGCGCGGCCAAATACGATATCCGCTCCAGTAATGTCAAGGCCGTGACGGTGCCAGAAACCGTCACGAAGCCGCAGGCCTGGTCGGAGGCCTGGATGTCGGTGGACCACTGCGAGACGGCCTGCGTAGCCTGGGGCGAGTGCGTGCAGTGGAGCTTCTACGAGGATCGGTGTATGCTCGATAGTATGATCCGGCTGGGAAGCGGGATCCCCGAGGGCGACTCCAGGCGTCAGAGCTCGCTACCCTGGACTAGTGGGTGGCTGACGAGGAGAGTCGAGCATTGGGACTCGGCCTGTAGTGGTAGTCACCTGTAGTGAGTAGGCAGCAACGCCCGCAGTGCGGTAGATGCCTGCGTGAGATTACCCGATCGGGAAATGTTGTATATACCCCCAGCAGAAATAAATCCTGTGAACCGTTACAATCCGCCGCCTGAAGAATCAGAAACAGGGACCAGTCATGGTCGCACGCTAAAAATACTAATTTAGCGTGTGGATCCGAGGCCAGTCTCCATCCATGGATCCCTTTTTCTCCCTCCGTCTTATCCATCCCCTCCGCCTCTCCCGCTTTCATCCACTGCAATGCTGCAGTTTACCACTTCATCATCACAGCATACCATGCAGCATACCATGCAGCATACGATAGACAAACCTCGCACGGCGTGGCTGGACGGCCTCCGCGGCCTCGCCGCCGCTATCGTCGCCTTCAACCATTTTTTCATGGGCGGAATCTTCGACTTCGCCTTCCACTCCTACTGGGCGGACCCCGCGTCGGCCAACCGGCATTTCATCCAATTGCCCCCAATCCGCCTGCTCTTCTCCGCCCACGCGATGGTGGCGCTCTTCTTCGTGATCTCGGGCTACGCTCTGAGCATCAACCTGCTTCGTCTGCGCGATGCGCCGCCGTCTTCCTCGCTGACCGCGTCGTCGTCCGCGACGAACCAGACACTACTCCGCGGACTCTCCTCCGCGACGACGCGCCGGATCTTCCGCATCTATCTGCCCGTCTTCCTTGTCGCGATTCTCTCGCAGCTGCTGTTCTTCTGCGGCTTGTATCACTGGTCGTTTGGCGACAATGTCGTCTGGGGCCGTCAGCCGTGGACCGCGCCGCTGTTTCACTTCACCTATCTCTTGCGGTATTTGTTGGATATTGTGAATATCATCCAGTTCCACCATAATCCCGGGCTGAATGGGCAGCTGTGGACGATGCCGATTGAGTTTCGCGGGAGTCTGATGGTGTACCTTGTCATTCTGGGGATGGCGTTCTGGAGGAAGGAGATGCGCGTTGGCGGAGTGTTCGTGCTGGCGGTGTATTTTCTGTGGTATGGGATCTGGGATGGGGTGGGTTTTCTGGGAGGCTTGGGGGTTGCGGAGCTTGCTCAGGGACTGCACTCGAGTAGTGAGGATGCGGTGTTGGGCGAAGGGTGGTGGGTTGGTAGGAAGGATGGCGAGCCTGGGCTGTCAAGCGCGTCAGCTGGTGGTCTCAAAGCAAAAGCGAAGACGCTGCTGACAGGATTCTGTTTTCTCATGGGGCTGCATCTGCTCTGTCTTGGGGATGATGGGGTACTTACGCCTGGGTATCGATGGCTGGGGTCGCTGCAGTCGCCCCGGTGGGATGACGACTGGGCGATTGTGAGTAAATGCTGGAAGACGGTGGGGTCGGTCTTGGTGGTGTATGCCATCGATCGCGTGGAGGTGCTGCAGAGGGCGTTGGAGAGGCCGACGCCGCAGTTTCTAGGACGCATCTCGTTCTCGCTGTATCTGGTGCATCAGTCGGTGTATCATGTTGCCCGGGATCCGGTGCGGAATGGACTGTGGTGGATCCTGACCGGGCGAGAGTACCCTGCGACGGATGAGGAGGCACTTGCTGGGGGGATGGGGGTGTTTGTGGTCAGTTGGGGTGTCACGGCTGTGGTGATGGGAATCTTGGTTGTTTGGCTGTCGAGTTGGTGGACGAGGGTGGTCGATGCCAGGTGTGTGCGGCTGTCAAGGAGGATCGATGAGTGGTTGTCTCGGTAGTGTCATTTAGTAAATTCGCCCGATATGTGTCAAGCTGTCGGCGTATAGACTTTATTCCGAGTCTTCATTCCATTAATAGACATGACAGCGGTTGTGGTCATCGAAGAATCTGATGGAATAGAAACACGCAACGGTTCATCAAGTATCACGTCAGAGCAGGTCATCCAGCAGATATTTTCTGCCAGCTGACCAGAAAATTTTCACGATTCCGCAATAATGAAGCAATAGAAAGTGCGAGAGCTGTGGATTCTCCTGCAAACCTTGCTGAGGATGAGTTGTCACTGCTGAACAAAACCAGTCCTCTTTCTTGTCTGCCTCCCTGTTCGTTTCTTCTTTTTTACAACTCTCCTTCTCCCTACTATCTCTCCTCTTCCTACTATCTCTCTTCCTATTCTCTCTTTCTACTCTCTCTTCCTACTCTCTCCCTACTCTCTCTTCTTCTACTCTCTCTTCTTCTATTCCCTCTTCTTCTCCTCCCTCTTCTCCTCCTGCTCTTCTCCTCCTTCTCTTCTCCTCCTCCTCCTCCTCTTCTTCTCCTCCTCCTCCTCCTTTTCCTCCTGCTCTCCTCCTCCTCCTGCTCCTCCTCCTCCTCTCCTCTTCTCCATTCTTATCTCTATAAATTCTAGATACTCCTATTCTTACCTGCTCCTGCTCTCTCTTCTTCTACCCTCTTCCGCATCCCAAGCTTCTCCCTTACTTCTTTGCGCACCGTCCTCTGCGCATCCCTCCAACGCAGAGCTCGCACCTCATCGTGGTGTTGGAGTCTAGTAAAGCTAAGACGAGCTCAATAGTAGTCCACGTGATGTGTAGATCCAGTCCTCCAGCTCCCGTAGAGTCCACCAAATTGCAGGCTGCAGCCTATTTAGGTGTCTGTAAAAATTTCCACAGCTAGCTACATTCACTGATCAGGGAGTAATTGTAGCGACACAGTGAATGGGTCCATCCAAGTCATCTGACCATCAGTTTCTTCGTCTATATAAGTCTTTCCCGTCTCCCTCTTCTTCCTTCATTCTCCTTCCTTTCCTCCATCCTTCCTCCACCTCTCCATCCTCTTCTCTTCCATCACCTCCATCATCCTGTTCCCCATCATGTAACACATCCTTTTCATCATCCTCCATCATCATTTGTATCCCATCTCCATCCTGTTTCTATCTCTATCCTGTTTCTACCTCTATCATGTATCCATCTTCATCATGTATCCATCTACATCCTGCATCCACCTGCGTCCTGTATCCCACCTGCGTTCTGTATCCCACCTTTATCCTTCTCATCCTTTATCGTGCTTTCATCCAAACCCCTCCTTGTATACTGTCTTTTTTCGCATTCCCAATTCTTGTTCTCGTGTGTATCCCAGCATGTAACCCACCGTGTACTCTCACTCCCGCCCCTCCTCCATCCTCTTCCCTCCCCCCTCCCTCCCTTCTCTCCTCCGCACGACCGTTCGACAGAAGTCGAGGGTCCCTGACAACCCATACCTGTGCCAGTCGCCGTGCTATGGTCCATGTCAGGCCCCAGTTCTCCTTGCCCGTTTCCAAAAAACCAACTGGGGTATTCTGTGCATCCCCTAACAGCGACGACCGATTTGGGAGTCGTGGGGGGATGACCACAGAACCAGGCATGCTGCCGAGGATGCTCATTTTGAGATATCTGGCAAAGTGCCATGTCCTCCTCTCCAAGGTCCTGCTTGAGCTGTGGCGAGGGACTTGCGAAGAGGACACGATCCCGAACGTCTGACAAGATGTGGGCGAACACGCGTACGGACTCAGCCTCAGCTTTGTCTTACAAACAAACGGGTGATCCCGAAACATCGTCAACAGACTGAGGGCGTGACCTTTCCCTGAGGAAGAACAATGCTTCCCGAGGGTAGAACATGGCCTGCCCCTACCATGGGTACGGGCAGAATATTCCATGTTCGGGAGTCCTATCCGCGGGCTGAACAAGGCAGACCACAGACCTTGTTGGGATCTGACCACCAGGTACCTTGGCTACCAACGGTCCTGGGAGCAGCTGACGTGCGGGGACGGACTACGAGCCGGCCTGCGTTCGTGCTGGAATCGCGTCTTCAGCCAACTCGCTCGTCGGTTGGTTGAGGGACCCCGGCCAGCTCCATTGTCGCTGTTATATGGAGACTGCGCAGTTGCACCAGACGAGAGTTGGTGGGTTCATTTCCTGGAAGCCGTCGCCGTCCGGTGGGAGTGGAACGGAATGAGTTGCCCATGATGCCCCGTCTAACGGTTCGTCTTCTTTTAGCTCAGGCCATCACCACGACCCGTGTGTCGCCGGTGCCTGCACTAGAAGCTTGTACTGGTACTTTGTGCCGTTGTGCTTGGGCTGTGTGCTGGTGCTGGTGCTTGTCTCGATGCATGTGTGACTGGTGTGTGGGTGAGATTTCCTTTGTCGCCTTCTCCTCGCTACACCCGTCTCTCCTAGGACGAGCTGCTGAGCTCGTTAAGGATGAGAAGATGTATGTGGTCTTTGGTGCTGGGTCATCGGGCTCCGTTCCGGCGGACAGATGGCGGCTGCAGCAATAGACGAAAACACATCCTTTGGGATGTTGCCTGGATGGGAGACAGGCCTCCAACGGGAGCTCGCACGTCACCGCGGTGTTGGAGTCTAGTAGCCTTTGCAAGCAAAGGCGAAGCTAAGACGAGCTCATGATCGGTCGAGGTGATCAAGTCGGCTGATTGTATCAAATTCCTTCCGCAGCGAACTACACGCGGGCAAGCATGAAGTCAACCCAAATACTGTACAGACCAATTACAATCCAGAGCTAACTACCGACGAAAACAACGTAGAAAAAGTTCCTACCGCAACCACCCCTTCACATAGGCCGGAATCCTCTCCCTCGCACCGCCCAGAAACCAGACCGAAGCGCCCAGAGCAGCCACCGCGCCCACCGCGCCAGCCACCTTGCCCACCGAGCTCCTCTCATTCCCCTCGCGGTCGAACGACGGCGTCACCTTCGGCATCATCTTGTGCATCTTCTCCACAGTATACGGCGGATACCTGGCATCCATGAACCCCTCCAGCACAGTCGGTAGTGCATTCGTGACCGTCCGCCGATACGAGAACGCCTGGATCCCATACTTCCCATGGTACGCGCCCATGCCGGCATGGCCCACACCTCCGAAGGGGGCATCTTTCGCCAAGGCGTGCAGGAGACAGTCATTGAACGTGACGCCGCCGGAGGCCGTCTCCCGCAGGATCCGGTCCTTCTCGGCCTCGACGTTCGTGAACGCGTACAAGGCCAGGGGATGCTCGAGGGAGGTGGTGAAGGCGAGCGCGGCGTCGAGGTCGGCGTCGACGATGGGGAGGATCGGGCCGAAGAGCTCCTCGGTCAGGAGGACGTCGTTCGGCTGGACGTCGACGACGATCGTGGGGCCGAAGTAGCGGGTGCTGCGGTCGCGGACGCCGCCGTAGACGATGCGGCCGGCCGTGCGGCTGAGCAGGGACTCGAGGCGGTCGAAGTTGCGGTCGTTGACGATGTGGCAGCTGTAGGGGGGCACGGTGTCGGCGCCGCCGTTGAAGGTGTCGAACCAGCGGGTGAGGGAGGCGACGAGGGCGTCGCGGACGGACGGGTGGGCGAGGATGTGGTTGACGTTGATGCAGACCTGCCGCATGCGTTTAGAAATCCCATATTCCAGAACCCAGAACCCCCCAAAAAAAGAAACGAACCTGCCCCGCCAACAGAAACTTGGCCCCCGCAATCCTCTTCCCCGCCATCTCCACATCCGCCGACTCCGTCACGATCGCCGGCCCCTGGCCCCCCAACTCCAACGTCACCGGCGTAAGATGTCTCGCCGCAGCAGCATGCACGATCTTGGCCACCTTCGCCGACCCCGTGTAGAAGATATGATCCCACCACTGCGCCAGGATGTACTCCATCTCGCCGGGGCCCGCAGTCACACACCGGATCGCCTTCGTATCCAAATACTCGGGCATGATCCGCGCCAACACCTCCTGGGACGCGGCACTCACATCCGACGGCTTGACGATCGCCGCACACCCCGCCGCGATGGCCGCCACGAGCGGCTGCAGCGCCAGCTGAAAGGGACAGTTCCACGCGCCGATGATCAGCGTCACGCCGAGCGGCTCGGTGCGCACGACGGTGCCCCCCAGAAAATTGACGGGGTCGAGGCGCGTGGGCTTCTCGTCGGCCGTCCACGCGCTCAGGTTATCCAGGGTGTGCAGGATGTCGGCTTGCAGCATGCCGATCTCGACGATGGTGGTTTCCACTTCGCATTTGTGGAGGTCGGTTTGTAGTGCGGCCACAATGGTCGCGCGGTGGTCTTCGAGCATCCACCATAGGCGCCGGAGTTGCTGGCGCCGCCAGGGGAGGGGTTTGGTGTGGCCCGTGGCGAAGGTTGTGCGGACCGTGTGCAGGGCCTTTTTTTTCTCTCTGTTAGGGAAGGGGTGGTGCGGGAGGGGGTAAGGGGGGAAGGGAAGGGAAGGGAGGGGAGGGACTGACCTCGTCAAATTCGGCTTGCGTTGTGTAGGTCATTTTGTTGGTGGTTTGCGAGGCGTCTCCTCTTGTGGTGGTGGTAGGATGGTTTAGTTGGAGGTGTGTACGGGGAGAATGATGAGGGGAGCTTGGCTTTTATAATGGAGAAAGCACGAGCTACCGCGGTTGTTGGTCTAGGTTCAAGGGGGTTAGTGGTTCTTTTATCCTTTATCGCCGAGGAATGGGCAAGGCGGGCCGTTGCTGGGCTGACAGGTCACAGCGGAGATTTCCCCACTTGCTGGCGCGCATTGGCGGCTTCGCTTGTGCTATCATCCATCGTCATTATACGCTCCCAACCCAGGGGTCCTCGGGTGGACGTTACTCTAGGCAAAATGCGGTGTGATATTTCTTCCATTGGGTATACTAGAAGGTGATTTAGATTGTGCCAAGATAAATAGATTGCCAAAGCCCATCCAAATATAAGCGGGGTGTCTGCATATAGTTCACCGCCAAGCAAGGAACCATTTCTTCCAAGATCACTATCACCCAAAATGTCATCTCGTACCTGCTACCACCTAGATCAAAAGGCGCTTGCCCTTCTCCAACTCCGCGATCTGCTTCTTTAATTGAGTGCGTCTTCGGCGCACCGCCGGATCCTCCCCTGCTATCTCCTGCAGGGTCTCCGCAGAGAAGCCGTGCACAAAGGCGGGCGAAATCAGCTTCATCGGTGCATTGGGCCCGTTCACCAGATGGTGATCGGCCGCTTGCATGCTGACATTGTCCACAAACCGACTCAACGCGACCTTGTAGTAGGATTCTAAGATGTCATGTAGCTCTTGCACCGTGTGGCTCTCGTTGCTCATGTCCTGTTGGTAATCGAGGTCGCCGACATGGAGAATTCCGTTGACCTCTTTTCCCCCAACGTAGGCCTTCCATCGAGAATGACGTCTATCTCGGGGTTAGCATGCTATTTGTTGAAAGACTAAAATTAGACGGTCTCCCTAGTCGAAGAAAAGACTTACATGTTCTGCAGGTGGTCGTTGAAATAACGGTCCAAGGTCTTCAGGGTGCCCTCCCTCTCTATGCAAAGGAGAAGCCGCACATGCTCCATTGCTTCCTTATACACCTCGAGCAAGCTGCCCATTATATAAGGTAAAAGATTTCGAAAGACCCGTCGATCCGCAAGCGAGATTTCTAGATTGCGCATGATGAATTTGTGGACAACGACAATGATGTCACTGAGATAGCCTAGCGCGATGCTTTGCCACTTCATGGTCTGCTGGTTGAAGACATTGGTCAACATGGGGATGCTGAAACTATTCAATTCAAACCCTCGTGAGTTGTGATATTCATCTCGCAGCCATTCATGAATGCTCTGCCTCAAGGGCTTCTCTATTATTTCCTGGTTGGTGAGAACATCCTCGAGCTCCATGACGGGCTCAGTCATCCGGGTCTTAAATCTGGTAGGACGTGAGCCGTGGTGATCAAGCTCCCCTTCTCCGGTAGAATGGAAATTCAAAGCTCCTGGTCGTGTGCTAGCAGAGAACTGCGCAGGCTCGTCTCCACCGCTCTCAGGGGACACGATTTCAACGTCGTCGCGGATGCTGTTTACCTCGAATTCGTATTTGTGACCCCATTTTTCGAAGTATCGGGCGAAAAGTACTTCCCGGTTGACCACCAAAGTTGCGAGGCGAAGCTCCTTGTACTTGGTGAAGTTCTCATCCGCACCATAGTGTGTGCCTAGAGCTTGGGTTGTCATAATATTGAATCTGGTCACCGCATCTAGGAGATATCTTAGTTGCTGGCTGGCAGTATCCCTCTCACTACCCAGCGCAACCAGACCTGTTTTGGCTTCCTTGAGCTTCTTGTTGATTTCAGCTCGGACCTGCGATATTGTTAGCGCAACTCACTTATGTTTGTCAACTATGCTACTGACCATAGGAAATGTCCTTCTGGCATTCTCAGTGACCGTATCCTGCAAGCGCGTTTTCAAGGAGCTGATGCCGTATCTGTCCACGGCCACTGTGCTCCACAACTCAGTCTTACCAAACTCGGCTTCTGCGGTGTCTCTGTCGACAATTCCTTTCTCCATCTCTCTTTGCCCCAGGTTTCGAACCAGAATCCAGCCATATTTCAAGGGAAGCTCACGCCCGGCGATGATGTCCAGGATCTTCTGCTCGGCTCCTTTGTCAACGAGATCGGGTTTAGTCAAGACACCCAAGGTCCGCTCCCCGTCGGGATCTACCTCCCGTGCCATCTCGATGATCTCCTGATTTGCCACATCCACATTAGCCGCAACGACTGTCAACAGGATGGACCGCGGGTTTCTCATGTATCCCAGGACCATTTCCCTCACGAGCTGGATGTCAGCTTTGGTTGTGCGCCCCGGTGTAGTCAACTTGAAGATACCAGGGACGTCAATGACGCTGAGATGGTCCTCGTCGGGTCCGCAGATTTCCAGCCGCAATATGTCTTTGGAAAATGTCAACTTGGTAGGCTTGTCAGGGGTGGAGACGCCCATCAGTCTGTGCGCCTGAATTTCCATCAGCATTCCACACGTGGCAGGTATTGTGCCGAGTTGATTGCGCCAACGACCGCCACCCTTTTCTGCATAACCAGCTTACCCGCACCCTTCTGATTGTAGATACTGAAAGCGGTGCTTACCTCCTCCAGTATCGCAGCAAAGGCGACTGGACTCAGGCTGCCCTCGAAGCTTCTACCCCAAGCCTGTAGCTCTCCTGCCCTTGTTGGATGTGAATCCGACGCGGGAATAATAGACGAAGAGATCCTTCTGGTCGTAAGGTTTTTGTTACGGCGGAAGATGAGCTGAGTTGCGAAACGGGTGCATAGCCCACTGTCGCGGGGGAATGGTAGCCGGGTGAGACCCTCGAGAACAGAGCTTTTGCCGCTTGACTGGTCTCCCACGACAACCAGCTGGGGAAGATTGATGTATTCTCCAATATTGCATGCAAATAGACTGTCTATCTTGTCCAGTAAAGCGGGGTCGGCCAGGCTGGTATAGCCTGGGGCTTCCTCTTCGAACATCTCTGTAGGTACTGAGTGGTGGATGGCGCTGTTGGATGCTTCTGGAGGATTGCAAGTGTGCGAGTCGTCTTGAGGATATAGGCGATTGTTCTGGATCTCTGGTGTAGGCCGAGGAAATGGTGGTTCCGTGTAAGGTAGGAGAGGGTTGAGAAGGTTGTAGATGGTTGAAGATAAATGCAGATTGTTGAGGAAGAACGTGGTGGATATGAGATATGTATTTAGAGACGGGTGAAGTGAGTGAGAAGCAAGATCAGTTGCAAAAGGTAGACTTCAAGTCTTGACGATGATACAAGGGAGGTTGAGTCCTTTGAATCAGGAGAAACTGCAGTCACTCAGGTCACTCCGGCTTCACTTTGAAAATCGGATGGCCGAAGCCAGCATTGGAAGAATGATCACCATCCAATTTCACCGGTTCTTGTCTTGAAGTCAATCCAAGTCAGCTTACAGAAGAAAGAAAGGGTCGAGTGGTGTGGTAGAGAGAAGTGCCGAACGACTGTGTAGAAGTAATGGGTAAGGCCTGCCTGCCGTCCGGGAGGGCGGGAAGCCGACTGTCTTTGCATCCACAAACCTGCGATCAACAACATCCCTTCTAGCCTCATGTTTCACGTATTCTGGAGCTGTGACCATTGTCATAAGATGGCTTCACACACTACGCGGTGTCGAGCTTCTTTCTTCTTGATGTTCTTCAAATTAAGACAGGCCCCACAATCTTCTGCAAAGCAAGAGCCTCCTTCAAGGCCCATCCCTCCGAAACTGGATATCTCGTGTCACCTATCTGCTTACTCGTCAGTCTAGAGACCTCCCTCCTGATATCAACCTGAAGCACTGCCTGACTCTTCATTCAATATGACCAGTCATAAGCTTCTTCCAGCGAACCACAGATCGCCTCACTCGGCCACAGCCAATCATCGCTCGATTTTGCCGATGTTCGCCGAAACCATAGCATTGATTTCCAATCAACAAGACAATCAATCGGGATAGCACTACAATTTTCAATAGTGATTATTATGAAAGTAAAGAATCATGTCGTTATGGGACAGATTGTGACCCACCAGACCTTTTATTAAGCGCCCAGTATCCTCCATGGAAGGCCAATGCTTCCTGTCCTGTCCGTGATCTTTCACGCCCTCAGACCTTGCACCCGACCCTGCCCCAATATCACCGATTTCCCATGCTAGAAAAATCGCGCGAAAATTCTCTCCGGAGAGCATCTGAGGGTGCGGAAATGCCAGGTACCACATACCCTGAGGGAGGGATTGAGGCCTGGGCTGTTGTGCTTGGAGCATGGTGCGCCATGATCCCATCTATGGGTCTGCTCAATAGTCTAGGTATCTTGCATGCATGGACGAGTAAGCATCAACTTGCGGACTACTCTGAGTCGAGCATTGGCTGGATCTATGGGGCATATGGGTTCTTCTTGTATGCTGCTGGAGCGCAAGCTGGTAGGTCAGTCTAGTCGTTCTGACAAGCTAGTACTGAGTAGCAACTAGGACCAATATTCGACGCCTATGGACCCAATTATGTCATTATCCCAGGCTCGATTGGGATTGTTGTCGCTTTGGTCTGCTTGAGTTTCAGTCAAGGTAACCTTGTTTGCCTTCCCTTGACAAGGAAACCCAGCCAGCTAACAGAATCAAGAGTACTACCAAATATTCCTGTCCTTCAGTGTCCTAGGCGGACTTTCCGCGTGCACTCTCTTTACTCCGGCAGTCTCTTGCGTGGGACACTGGTTCGACAAACGAAGAGGCTACGCGACCGGGATTGCTTGCACCGCTGGTGGCCTAGGAGGAGTCATCTTCCCCTTGATCATTCTCTTCGCTGCGCCCAAGATCGGCTTCGCCTGGGCGATTCGCATCATTGCGTTTCTTTCTGCTATTCTTTGTCTGATTGCTTGTCTGACGCTGAAAACACGTCTCCCTCGCAACAAAGGAGCCAGCGCATCTATCGATCTGCGCGCCCTGCGGGATGGAAAATACGCCACTACAACAATAGCGGTTTTCCTGGTAGAATTTGCTGTGTTCATTCCGATAACCTATATTGCCTCGTATGCAATTCACGTTGGACTGAGTGACACGCTTTCCTACGCTCTGATTGTCTTTCTCAATTTAGGCGCCATCCCGGGACGCTTCCTCCCTGGCCTCATAGCCGATCGGATCGGGAGGTTCAATGTGATGGTTTTGACTTCCATTGTGTGTGCGGCGCTCACTCTAGCTCTATGGCTTGCTTCTGGCGACAATATTGCTGCTATTGTCTCTTACGCAGTTTTCTTTGGTTTCTGGAGCGGCGCTGCAATTAGCCTCACACCTGTTTGTATATCGCAGATCGGTGAGACGCGGGACTTGGGCAAGAGGACCGGAACGACGTTCACAATCGCCAGTGTAGGAACACTGACTGGCATTCCAATTGCAGGGGCGATTCAGCAGCAAGATCATGGTGATTACTGGGGCCTTATTGTGTTT